CAATTCTGTCTTTGTCTTTAATCCTTGACATTTTAATTTTGTGGTGTGGACTTGCTTGGGTTCATCTTGTTTGGAATTCGCTGTATTTCCTAAATGTGGATGTCTGTTTTCTTCACCAGGTTAAGGATGTTTTCAACTGTTATTTCTTCAAATAAATTTTCTGCCCCTTTCTCTCTCTCTTCTCCTTCTGGGAACCCTATCATGCAAACATTTGTTCACTTGATGTTGTCCAAGAGATACCTTAGCTTATTTTTAAAACTTCTTTTTTCTTAAAAAAAAAAAATTCTTTTTTCTTCATGCTGTTCAGCTTGGACACTTTTCATTACCCTATCCTCCAGATTACTAATCTGTTTTTATGCATCCACTAATCTGTTGACTCCCTCTGTGTATTTTTTATTTCAGTTACTATATTCTTCGATATTAATATTTTCTTCAAGTATTTATATTTTCTCTTTGTTGAAGTTCTCACTGAGTTCATCCACTCTTCTCTCTAGTCCAGTGAGCATCTTTATGACCATTATTTCGAACTCATTATCAGGCACATTGCTTATCTCCATTTCATTTAGGTTTTGTCTTGTTCTTTCATTTGGAGCATATTCCTTTATCTCCCCATTTTGCTTGACTTTCTGTATTTATTTCTATAAATTAGGCGGAATAGCTACTTCTCCTAAACTAGAAGGAATGATCTTGTACATGGTCATCCCTGTGTAGACGTGTGCCTGGTGACTGTGGTGGGTTTGTTGGCTGGAGCTGTGGCTGTCATGGCCTGGGGAGGGGAGCCACCCTGGTGGAATGGCCAGAGATAAAGTGGCCATGAGTCAGGGCAGTCCTGGGGCTCTTGGCAGAGGGCAACCTGGCCAGACAGCTGAAGTGGGTGCAAACTGGAGGGTCCAGGGGCTCTCTGTGAAGAGGGCACCCTGGTAAGACAACTGAAAATAGGTGCAAGCTGGGGTTTCCTGGGGCTCTCTGCACAGAGGGTGCCCCCAAAGAACAGCTGAAGCTGAAGTTGGTGTAAGCCAGGGTGTTTTGGGACGCTGCATGGCAGGTGCTATGGCAGGGCAGCTAGAGCGAGGATGGGTGTGGGTCGGGGTGTCCTGGGGTACAGGGGCACTCCAGCATGGTTGTGGAGGGGAGGTCCCAGGGCACTCCACACAAAGGGAGCCTTGGTAAATTGTCTGGAGCCAAAGTGAGAGCTGGGGGTGGCCTGGCAAGTCATCTAGAGCCAAAGTGGTGTGAACTGGGATTGTTCTGGGGTGCTTTGCACCTGTATCACCTTGGTGAGGTGGCTGGAGCTATAGTGAGTGCTGAGCAGGGGTGTCCTGGTGTGCTTCGAGCAGGGGGCCACCTTGGTGGGACAGCTGGGGCTGGTGTGGGCTTGGGGCTCACTGAGGTGGTAGGCTTGCTAGTGTGCCCAGACCCCGCTCCTGTCCACATTGTATTGTCAGGTGAAGGAGAAGGAATGTAACCCAGATCCTCCAACCTGGAGAGAGTTTCAGCAGCTCTTCTGCCATTTGGCAGAATTCTAGGGCCGGATCCTTTATATTCTAGTTGTTTAAGCCATGGCTCTTTTTTCTGTTCCCTGGGGCATTTGAGGCTGGTGTGGGCTAGGGGTCCAGGCCTTGCTGAGGCTGGCTTTGACACTCTGACCCTGCTTTTGTCTGTGCTATCCAGGTAGAGGGTGAATGCAAACTATGGGGCTCACCAGCCCCTCTGACCTGGAGAGAGTTCCAGCAGCTCCCCTCCCATTTGACGGGGTTCTAGGGCTGGTTCCTGTATATTCTGGTTGCCTTTGTATTGTAAACAGTGGCCTTTTTCTACATTCAAGGACAGATGAAATCTGCTATGGTCCCTCTGAACTATCCCTCCTCACTGCATTTTGCAATGGGTGTGGGGGTTTGTGTCTCTGTGTCTCTTTGTGGTCTTTTGTTGTGCAGAAGCTGTTCGGTCAGTCCTTAGTTCTTCAGGAGGAATTGATCTATAACTAAGTGTTGGTTTGGTGTGTCTGTGGAAGACATGAGTTCAGGGTCTTCCTACATTGCCATCTTGGACAGAAGCCAAAGTCCAATTAACACATATTTTGTATATTATATACTCTATTCTTACAATAAAGTAAGCCAGAGAAAATGTTAAAATCATAAGGAAGTGAAAATACATTTATAGTACTGTATTTATTAAAATTTTATCATAAAAAAATCTGTGTAGAGGCACCTGGGTGGCTCAGTTGGTTTAGTGAACAGCTCTTGATTACGTCTCTGGTCATGATCTCAGAGTCCTGATATCAAGCCCTGTGTCAGGCTCTGTGCTCAGCGGGGAGTCTGCTTGTGCTCTCTCCGCTCCTCCCCCTGCTAGCATGAGCTCTCTCAAATAAAATCTTAAAAAAAAAAAAAAATCTTGTGTATAAGTGGACCTGTGACGTTCAAACAGGTGTTACTGTAGGGTCAACTCTATTTATGATCTCATCATTCCCTGCAAATGAGAGGAGGTACTTAGCTTAAGAAATGAAATTCTGATCAGTCCTTTGCTGGACTTAAAAGGCTTGAAAGTAAGAATAACATTAGTACTGGCCCCAAGGGTATCACATAAGGATCAGAAAAGGCTTCTTGCCGTTGGTCCAGTTATGGATTATATTCGATTTAGAGTTTTCTTGGAAGCCTAATGAGACTTAAGCTGGCAAAAAATAAAACAGAAAAAAAAAACCCCAAAAAACCACCCCTCCTCCAAAATCCCCAAAACAAAACAAAACAAAGAGTTAAAATCTGGATATGTTGTCCAGGATAAAAAGGTTGATTTTTATGAGATTTTGCTTTATCTTCTTCTCCATAATTAATTTCCCTTTTCTGTACCCAGCACCACAGCAGGTTCAAACAGAGCCTTTCTGGGATTATTACTGGCTTGCCCTCTCTGGGTGGCAGTGTCCCCTGCAATCACGGTTTAGCATGCAGAAGCCAACTTTATGCGGTTGTAGAAAAGTGCCTCTCCCTCCTCGCTGATGCAGCCTGACTCTGGCTCAGCGGGTGTGGTGAGCAGAGGTGGGCTGGTTTTCAGCTCCCACCTGCTCTCCGGGCTTGGTGCCCTTGGCAGGGCTCAATCCCAACAACTGGTTTTTAGCAGCCCTGGCTGAAACCCCACACTGAGTTTTTCCCGGAAAAATCATGTTTCAAAGTAAGTGTAGGCCATGAAAAATATAATTTTAGAGATTATCTACACGAAAGCACACAATTTGTTATCTGAATGATACATAATTGATAAATAGCATATATATATATATATGCGCTCTCCTTAAAAACATGAAGACAAATAGAGTACACCAGTGTTGTTTTGAAAAGTGAATTTATTAAAATGCTCATAATTATAAAAGAATATTAAAATGCACAGAAATTCACAAAACATTACAAACTTTACATCTTATGCCGCAGTGTATGAAAGCATCGTGAATATTTCCATTCTATTTTAGTTAGGCTGCTCATACATTTTAACTTTTCAAACATCTTATAATATGCACAATGAGAAAATGGTACAAGAAGTGTTTCAATAGCAGAGCTCATTCTGCCCCCCATGGTGAACGAATGTTTTCTGAAATTCCAGATGCACGCACGGGTAATTAAAAGGGAAGGCATTTGGTGACAGTTTACAAGACGGCCTTGTTTAGTTTTCAAACAAAAATGATAGCATTCCCTTTCTATTGACACATCTGAAATATCTGAGGGATAGTTAAAGAAAAATCTCCTGAGTATTTTGGTCTAATGCTTCAATCTGCTAAAATTCACAGGCATTACAAAAGGATATAAAACTCAAAGTTCTCTAGTGGTTAACACCGGGCAGGCGGAGGGCCAGATTCTCCTCTCATGGGGGCACCGCCACACCCACCCTTTTTCCTGGGGTGCTGCTTCTGCACACATATCCCGATCCGGACTGTGCCTGCCTGCACATGCAGCCCGGCGTTTTTCATTGCCACCGCCAAGTCGGCACTGGAGTTACATGAATGCTGTCCGTGTCACAGGGGAGCCTGGCTCCCCACTCCTTCACTGTTTGGGGAATATTGGCAGTGTCATACATGTGATTTTCTGCCTTTATAAATGTAGAGCTTTCCCCCCTCCTGGCCACAAAAGCACACTGTAAACTATGAAGATGATTTGTGAAAGATGATTTATGAAGATGTAAATGCACAATTCTTTTAAAGTTGTATTGTATATAACGAGGAGATAAGGCAAGAACATTTCCTTTTCTGGGCTCCCATAAACAGTGAGTACTCGCCAAATCCAACATGAGGAGATAGTCCTAGGCTTCAGAGAAGAGCAGAGGTGAGAGGAGAGGAAGTGACACCACTGCTAGGAGCAGTGTCACAGCTGCGCAGGGAAAGGACCAGACGCACGCGGTCTGCGCTGTGCAGACTGAGCAGCTGCAAGAAACTCCTTTCTTACTCCCTGTGCGGTCAGAGCTCATGTGGCTTGTTGGGAGCACTCTGTTCCCACTGTTCATGTGACCAAGACAGTTGGTAAAATGTTGTCCCTGATCCACTGGGACAATTCAGAAGTCCAGAATACTGCTTTGATGGATCCTATGTAAATACTATTTTCGCTGTTTGTTTTTTAAACATTCACAGCATGCATGCAGAACTGTGACCTTGAGTTAAGCTGCTCTCTTACAACAAGCCTCTGAATCTGCTCATGAAACAGCTTTCCTTTCCCTTTGCTGCTGGGATTCTGAGTGGCTTGGCTTCCATGACACCTGGGCGTTTAGCAGCACGGCAGTGGGTGGTGGCCCACCTGGCAAGAACCCAGTGCCAGACCCCCTGTCTGCACCTAGCGCTGCCCTGGTACCAGTCAAGGGTGAGTGGTGAGAGCCCACCCGAGGGCCTTGCACCTGAAAGGCAGTAAAGCACAGTAAAGACTGCTGAGCGGAACAAACTGAAGGCAAGATATGCGTGGCACAGGCGTTCAGCAGGAAGTTATGTCCCGCCGACCATGGCTTTAGGGAGGCTGGAAGCTCAAACCAAAACCAGCCTCTTTTCTGAATTGGGAGTGATCTGGGTCTGCTCCTGTCTCCCTCCACTTCCCCCACCACTACTCCCACCCACCCTTTGGTGCGTGCAAGTTACAAAGTTACTGGGCTGGGAACAGGGAATGGAGGATGTAGGGAACCACCTTGACCATGGCAGATGCTTTGGTATGTTGATCACTTGGATATGCAGGACCCCTGCTGGAAAGGCACCCCCCACACGGCCTCACAATGAGAGCACTTGCTGTTCTCTTAAGCGTGCACAGCACCGTCCTGCCACGCTGGCTAGACAGTGAGCCATTCCCAGTGGTGCTTGTGGGCTCTAATGCTCTCCCTCCTGGATCTGAGGAATCACGGACAACTGGTGGGAAACGGATGGACTTATCTTTCCAAACCATTACACTGATACAAATGTAACTTTAATCCCTTGATTTCATTTTTTTCCCAAGAAACTACATATCTTTAGAAGAGGTAAATTAATTATCCTGATCAATAGGAGTTACGATTCTATTTGAATCGGTAACTTTCCCTGCTTTTGTCATCTTACTCCCTTGAGATTTGCAAAGCAGTCAACACTGATTAGGCACAGAAGATTCTAGGAGTGCTCCTGGAAGATAAAAGGTGTCACTGTGGATTAGTACAAATACACTTCAGGACCTTGCTATCTATCTTTATTCCAATCCATTAAGAGTATTTCTTTGAGATCGGAAAGACAGGCCAAAATGAAGACTGAAACTATTTCCTCTTATTAAGTGAGGTTTCATTTTCTGTAGGGATGTGCTAATAACACCTGAATATTGTGAATTCTTGGGTCTATCGGCCACTGAATATACCATTCAAACCGAATTCTGAGTTAGCTATTTTTAATCACACAAAAGCTAGCATGTCTAGTCTTTAGCGACAGTACTGTAAGGGAAAGCTAACTCTGGGACTGATCTGGCGAAGTGAAGAAATGAAACACTGCCTAAAAGGGGAGCATGTGCTTGAGAACAGAAAGGAATGAAAATAATCAAACGGAGGGACAAAAATCCATTCTGCTTTGGAAGGGGTGGTTTTTAAGCACACTACAAGACACTTTCTGTGTTACAGAAATTCCAATTTATCAAAAAAGGGTAATATTTCTGGTTTTCCAGGTGATTAGCTTTATGCACTTCTGGATCTAAGTTTTACATTTCCCAGGTCCTGCATGGCTGGCTGAAACGGAAAAATCATCTCTATGAAAATGGCAATAGCGAAGACTCCTATTTGCCAAAGTGTTTTAATTTAAACATTCTCATTAGTGATTCATAATATATTTTGACAGAGTTAAATTCTGTAAAGTGCTTCTCAGAACATAATGCTCTTATTCTGATTTTGGTCGTAAATTATTATCTACCACTTCCACCATCCTCTCAACTTTGACCCCCATATTTTTTGTCATATCTTTGAGGTGATTCTCACGAAGAAGCTTTTGGGTTAAGTATTTTTCTCTCCTGATCTTGCTCTTCGTGCGTTTTGATACATCTGGGATGGCATAGGATACAAAAAATTTCACAGAGTAGATGAGATGCTGTGGGAGAGAAGAAGAAAGATGTCAATCACAAAGAAATGGAGAGGAACACAGAGTTGTTTTCGTTGTTTTGTTTTGTTTTGCTAGTCATCCTAGCAATAGATCTGGACAAGGCAGTGGGCATTCTACATATATAACCAGTCTCTCCTACACCATGTGGGTCTGCCAAGGAGCTACATTTTGTTACTTTGAAAATTTCAAGAATACTATTTGATATGTAGCAAAGAATGTATCTAATATCTATTAACACTCACCCTGACAATGCTGTAGTATTTTTGTGTGTATGTTCCTTTCCTATCTCATTTCCAGGCCTCTTCCCCCAAAGGTTAACACTATATCCTATCTGTGTGAGTCTATCTGTATCATTTTTAGAAAACAAGTTTAACAAGATATGTATATAGCCCCAAATAATATATTGTTTAGTCTCGCTTGATGTGAGCTTTATAAAAAAGTATGATACTGTATATGGTCTTTCAAAAATTACTTTAAAAAAAGACTTATTTACTAGAGAGAGAGAGAGAATCTCAAGCCGACTCCGCACTGATCACGGAGCCCAACATGGGGCTTGATCCCATGACCGTGAGAGATCATGAGCTGAGTTGGATGCTCAACCGACTGCGCCACCCAGGTGCCCCTGAAAATTACTTTTTTTCATTCAAAACTAGTTTCTAATCCACCAATGTTATTGTGCATAACTGTAGTCCGTTCATTATCAATTCCGTCTGCATACACTGTAATTTATCCATTTCCCCATCAAAATGTACTGGGCTTGTTTCTAGTGTTTGTATTAGGAGCAATGATGTTGAGAGTGTTTTTGCACTTGGATTCTGGAGGACATTTGTGAGAGTTTCTCAAGGGGATGACCCAGAAGTGGAACTGCCAAGACTCTGTTAAATGAATATTCAAATTTCCAAGATGGTGCCAAAGTATTTTCCAAAGTAGTTAAACCAGCTTCCACGCCCACCAGCAGCATGTGATGATTTCAGAGCCTCTGCATTCTTGTCAGCACTTGTGGTCATCAATTCTTTTTTTTTCCACCAACATGGTGATTATGAAATGGATTTTCATTTTGGTCTTACATTTCTGATGACTAACGATGCTGAACACATTTTTATTCATTATTCAAAAGTCTCTGACCTACCGAGGAGATAGGTAATATACAATAAACATCCTTAAAAACCAATAAACTGTACACAGTGTTCATGTGATAAGAGCGTGGAGAAAGCAGTAAAGCAGAGCAGGAGTTTCTGTGTTAGGTGGGAGGCCAATTTCAGGTAGACTTTGTACAGATTAGCCTGGGTATGCCTCACTGAGCCAAGGCTTTATGCAGGTGAGGGAACTAGCTGCGCAGAAATCAGGAGGAAAGGCATACGAGGCAGAGGGAACAGCCAGTACAGAGGCTCAGTGGCGGAAGCCTGCTGGCTGTACATCAGGAGCGACAGAGCTGAAGGGACATGAGTGAGGAGGAGAGCAGGGACAAGAGAGAGGTAACAGAGCATGGCTAGAGTGTGTCAGACCTTGCCCGGCTCTGAGTGAGATGTGAAGACAACTGGGAGCCCAGTCAGGAGCCTGTGGCCCTAATTCAGGCAAGAAATGATGGTGACTCCAACTCGACTCTAGCAACAGAGCTCGTAAGAAGGGTCAGATCTGCAATGTACTGTCAAAGGAAAAGCCAAGAGCACTGCATGCGGGGTAAGTGGCGGGGGGGTGCTCCAAGAATTCTGCCCTCAACCAGTGAGGTAGATGCCAACTGCCATGACTGAGAGGGGGCAGACCCACTGTGGGTGCAGCATTTAGGGCGGCACAGAGAGGAGAACATTCCAAGTGGACTCAAGAAAATATGGGCATTTGGGGCAGTAGATTTATCTGTTAGCTATCCAAGCAGAAAGGTCAAGTAGGCAGTTGGATTCGTGGGTTGAGTTCAGGAGAGCAGTGTTCTAGAGGTAAATATATTGTGAATCACTGGCATATAGATGGCATTTAAAGCCAACGGACTGCGTGAGATCACCAAAGCTGTGACGTACGAGAAAAGGGGGAAAATTTTTTTTTCCCCCTGGGAACCAAGTGAGGAGGAACTCCTAGACGGGGAGAGCGATGTGCTGTGTCAAATGCTTCTGGTAAGTTAGGTAATGTGAGGGTGGAGAATATCTGAGATGAGAGAGAGAGTGGGTCTGAATGATAGAAATTATAAGGAGGCAAAAGTTGATGATGTAGGAAAGAGAGGTTTGTTTTTCCCCATCTATATTTATAGATGTGGACTTTGTTATGCCACCCTTGCATTTCTGGGATAAACCAATGTGGTCTGATGTCATCTTTAAAAAATATATTGCTAGATTCAATCGGCACATTTTAGAAAGATCCCTGCATCAATGTAACGAAGGAGACTGGCTTATAATTTTCCTCTTTCTATTCCTGTGTGATTTTAGGATCTAAAAAGGAGTTGGAGAGCGTTTTCTTTTTCTGATCTCTGGAGGTAACTAAAATGATCTGTTCTAGAAAGTATGGCATCACTCTCCTACAAAACCATATGGGCTGGCATTTTCTTTATGGAAAGATTTTTCAATTACTCAAAATTTTGCTATAATTCTAGTTTTAGAGTTCCCTTCTTTAGCATTTTGTAAGCTATTTGACTACTCTCTTCCGGCTTCCATGCTGCTGTTAAAAGTCTACTCTCATTTCAATTTTAATTTTCTTTATCAGTCATCTGTCCTTTTTCTCTGGTTACTTTTAAGATCTTATCTTTGATGAGCTGCACTTTTGTCACAACCTGTGTAAGCATGGATTTCTTTGTTCTGCCTGATGTTTGCTGTGCTTTCTGCTCTGTGAACAGAGCCCTTTCATTTCTTCGGGAAGAATTTTAGCCATTAACTCTTCAAATATTGCCTCTCCTCTAGTATCCTTTTTTTCCTTCTGTGAATTTTTTGACTTTTTTGTATTTTCCACTTTCTTCTCTCCCTGTGACGTGCTGGGAGTAATTTTTTTCAGACCTATCTCCCAATTCATTCATTCTTGCTTCAAACTTCTGTTTAATCCGTATGTTTTTTCATTTCAACTATGTATTTTTCAAAATTACCTTGTAATTTTTTAGTTATTGTTTGTTCATCTGTGAATCGCTCATTTTTTGTTTAAACATTTTCATACACATTGAATTTATATTCCTAATATGATAATACATACTCTTGAAGTTACTGAAGGTCCAAATTATTATTTTTTCCCCCTGAATCTCACCTGTGGTTTTTCTTATTTCCCCTTGTTATTGTTGATCTTTGGAAGCTCGTATCTGATTATTTCAATCTGAGAAAAAAATGTGGTCTAAACCGAGGACACCTTTTCTCCAGGGAATATATGCATTTCCTTCTGCTCTGAGACAAATTTAGCTCTTTTGGGGGCCCCTGGCTGAATCCAAGAGTCTCAAGCTCAGCTGGTCCACCTCCCTGCTGACCCGCTGCTTGGCGCCCTTGAGCCTTTAGAGGGAGGCGCTGAAGACCGCACCCGTCCTCAGAGTGCCCCTGCGCTTCAGGGGGTGCTCACTGCTCTAGTTTAGCCATCACCTTTCTGCCCCCTCTTTGTAGATTCTCCTCCCTTCCAGTGAGCTCAAAAATGAAAAGGAAATTATATTTTAAGCTGATTCTGAATGTTGTGTAGTGAAATGGCCCCTCAGAATATTTGGTCAGCTACGATATCAGAAGCAGAAGTCGAAATACTTACTGATCTTCGGTAAGCCCCTTCACAGTCTAGCATGCAGCCCGGCGCCCCAAATTTTTCAAAAAGGCACTCAGTACCACAGTGAGAGGCACTGAATCGCCCCCGGCACACAACACGCTTTCACCTTTTCAAGCAGATAACCCATTTCATTAATGAGAGCATTATGGGTATTCCCATGTTAAATGTGATTAACAGATGTCCTAAAATAATTACTAGCAAGAGAAAAAGAATGTATTTTAAGTCAGAGCTGCCAACACTTATTGTTAATAAAAGGTCTGCAAATCTACTGCCTTAGGAACTCTTTCACAGTATACCTCTCCTACCTCCATGACAATGATGAAAGCCAGCTTGGCTGCGATCACGTGCCAGTAGTAGATGTTGTGTTTATACTGTTGTTCGTGTCCAGGTGGGTTCCGGAAATCACGGTACCTGGAAACAAACCAGAGGGCTATCAGGAGATTCTTTCTGATTAAGTACTGTAAGCAAGGGCCCCTTTCAAAAGACGTCATAATTAATGCAATGCTTTTTAAAACCGGACATCCTGTAAGTTTTCTCCAAGAGTTTAATTTGGCTACAAAATCCTGAAATAATGACTCCAGTAATACTTGACTGAACATAAAATAGGAAGATGATGGTAATGACATATTCCATATGTGTAAACACAAAAGTATTAACAAAATTTTTTTGTCAGAGTTTTATTCCTGCTTTCTCAAAAGAGTATGTAACACTAAAACGTTGTAGCATATTTTCAGAAACAGGCTTATAAATTTATATAGTGGTATCCTCAGGCTTCACTCAAGTTATGGGCTATCTCTCCCTGTAGAGAGTAATGCCCATCTGCTTGTTATAATATAATCAGAGTCCTGATTTCCTTATTAGATATCATGTGCTACTGCTGTTAGTATATATCACCCTCAGGTAGCACATCTCAGCCTGTAACCTATCAGGCCTGGAAGAGTTTACTCTTTAGAATTATGGCAAGTAAGAGAAGACTCAATGTGGGATTCCAAAGAGGCTCCAGAAACATTTATTTGGGGCTTATTTCTGGTTTCTTGATTGTGTTGCTGAGAATCTGAACCAGAGAAGGGTTTGAGGAGTTGAACTAAATGAGATTTAAATCCTCCTTTAGGGTTAAGACTCTGGTTAAAAAAAACAAACTATGACCTATAGTCAACAAACTTTATCAAGTAGTGATTTACTTGATGTTTATTGTCCACAGTTGACCTTACCAGCCATTACAATCAATGCAGAGAGTCCTTAAGGAATGCTTTTGAGAATACTGCTAGGTGAGCCTGAGGTCTTCACATTTCTCATCTTTGTATTTCTTGGAGAGGGAGTGCTACTTTGCTGTCACTCAGTACATCAGGTTGTGCTCGAATTAACAGATTAGTCATTACAACTGAATTAACTTGTTTTTTGGAACTCCTTGAGTTTCTTCATTTCTAAGATACAAACAAGACTTTTCTCCTGGATCAGTCTCCCTGCAATCATTTGAAACCCCCATCTTTAAATCATGCTTTATGGTTTGATTTGTAAATTCTGACCCCAGTCTGTATTAAGTTTGGCTAAAAAGAAACCTAGGGGAAGAAAAAATGTCTCCAGCAATTTTATTTAGAATTACATGACAATAAAAGTCCTTTAAAAGATGAAATGCATTTTCAAACATGTAAGCGGAACTTGCCTGCATGTGGTAGGGATAACAACCTTAGGGTCTGGATTTCCCTTGCTTTGATTTTTGAAGTCTGAGACCTTGAAAATGGAGAGAGTACTGTTGATGTATCCTTCCATGGTGTAATGGGTGTGGTTCCCATAGGGAGGGACGGAGAAGGACCAGTAATACACCAGGCGGGGGATCATGTCTGACGTGAAAGCAATGATCATGGCCTATATGGGGAGGAAAACAGGAAGGGGGCATTAATTTAAGCCTTTATAGCTATGGTTAACAAACACACCAGAATTATGTGTTCATCAGTTGATTTTTTTTTAATCAAAGATTCAGAAACATTTAATCCTTTCCTAACTGTCAAATGGATATAGATAGTGAATGTCCTAAAGTCTTTGAGCAGCTGCTTTAAAGAATAGTTACTGCCTCTTGATCTTCAGTTCACCTAAGGGCTCTCCAGAAGTCCATCTGCAGTTGAAAAGCAAAGGCTTGCAAGTTGCCTATTCATGTTTCTTAGGTACAGTAAGAATAATTGTAGACCAGGGTATCCTGGATTAACTCAAGTTGCTTGCATATATTGTTATATAAATTAGATTTTCAAAAATTAGAATATTATACAACTCAATCAACCTTGTAAATCTACTTGATATAATTTATTTATTGATTTGACAGAGAGCAAGAGAGGGAACACAAGCAGGGGGAGTGGGAGAGGGAGAAGCAAGTTTCCCACGGAGCAGGGAGCCCCATGCGGGGCTCGATCCCAGGATTCTGGGATCATGACCTGAGCTGAAGGCAGACGCTTAATGACTGAGCCACCCAGGTGCCCTACTTGATGTAATTTTAATCTTTCTTTTATGATTTAGAAGGCCCTTTTGCATAAGTAATATTAGGGTCAATATTATGAAAATAATTTGGCCTTTTATAATTCCTTTGTAGAGTTTACAATAGATATAAAACTGATTTTGAAATACTTGCCTCTTAAAAATAGAATATAAATAGCATAAAATAGATTTTCCTTAGTCTAATAGTGGCCTTCAAATTCATACTTTTTTCCCCTAGAGTATCCTGACTTACTTATACATGTCAACCCATAGTCTGTCTGACTTTAAGCTCTCGGTATATACTTGCATATGTTGCTTCATTAGAGAGCAAGAATTTATTAATTTTAAAATGTAGGCAGCAAGAAACTATATGGGGGTTGCTGCATTCATACAGTCAAGTGTATGCCTATTTTGTTAGATCTAGTGTCTAAGCCTCTAAACTTCAAAAAGACTGAACAAAGTTCTGAACATTATACATGATCAAATAACAGATTTTAGTGTGATCCCAGATTAAAGGAATAAATTGAGATTAACTTTTAATCTGGGTCTGTGTCAGGCAGACCTCTATCAGGACATAAAGCTATTATGAATTACATGAATTTTCTCTAAAATTCTTTAATTTGGGTTTTAAACTCCCCAATATATGAAATTGGTTTGAAAGAGGGAGAAAGTAAGGAATATACTTTAACCCAAATTCTCTGCGAATAAACAAAGCTAAATGATTCATTTATTGAAGCAGAAAGGCATGTTTTTGGTACAACATGATTTTTAATAGTATTCATCTGAACATATGGTTTAGATGCAGTGTGACCGTAAGCCAACAAACAAGATCTCAGGCAGAGCAAGAAAAACAACTAAGGGGGCTTTTCTACTGCAAAATTACTCCCCTTAGTAGAACCAGCTTTGTCATTTCCTCTGAAGTGAGTGAGTGTGTGTGTGTGTTTGCCTGTCGGGGGGGGGGTATAAGACAAGAATATTTTACTTTTCCCAGATTTCAGTAGTTTAACATTTCCTGTTATTTAACTATAGCTTTTTACAGAATCACCTGCAGATGTGCTCCAGGAAGCTATAAAAATTCCAACAAGGAAGAGAATTCTCTTGTCTTCTGACAAGATATTTATTCCTCCTGAATTGAGCTGCTTTGAGACGCACTGCAAGAGTGAAGTAAATGCGGTGTGCTTCGCTTCCTATGCTGTTCTGAACACAATTTTCCATTTATATCAAATTAAAATCGGTCTTCAATGGCAGATACTGTGGCCTGAGACAACCACGTCAACTCAGCTCATGTATTCCACCAGCAGCTTTAAGATGAATGATTTCATACCAAACTCTTGCTTGATGTCCATTTTCATCCCTGGTGGCTATTCTCTTCTTCCCATAGTTTAAAGTTCTCCTATTATGGAAAGTTAGCCCTTTTTGTGCCCAGTAGATGGTAGAGGCATACATTAGGTATGTGAGGGAATGATATACACGTTTCATTCTTACAGACACGTACACAAACATGCACAGGATCTGCAGCTTGGAAGCTGTATTAAATCCTAATAATATGGAAAAAAAGATTGTCCGTAGTTCAATCAATGATCTAAAAAGTAGTTTTCCTAGGGTATAATAAAACGACGCCTAAGTTAGAAGAAAAAAACTACTGGATAAGAACCAGTAGCACCAGTTAGTTAGCAGGCATGCATGTGCCTGTGTACACACCCACACCCACACCCCCCAGAGTAGCCTTAGAGACATGGCCAATACCCCCTTTGTGCCAATGGAGTGGAGCCATGCAGGGGATAGTAGAAGGTGCCTACCACATTCAAACCAGAGTGCTGAGGAATGGGGAGTAGGAGTCCTCTGAATTTTCTGGTTAGCTGAAGGTCAAACAAAAACCCTTTTAGTTTCAAACCTTGTTGCTCAAATGTTCCTAAAACACACAAGTCCACGTTCCTGCCTTGCTTGGGGTTGTACAGCATATTGAATGTGACAGATTCATTCTTTTATGATTGTAGAACCTGGAAGGCCTCACTGTCCTATTTCTGCACGTCAGTCTTCATTCCGTAGCACAGGGGATGTTGAAGGTGTGGGCTACTTGGGTGAATGGAAAATGATATAAGCTAGCAGTTGTCTTTTGTGTGCAATCTGCAACTTTCTCCAAAAAGTAGGGATAGCATACAACTCAGATAAATTAAGGTTCTTGGTCTGACAGCTGGGTTCCAGATAATTGGCTTTATTGTGTAAAACTGTAACCACGGCTCAGTGACACATCGTAAAATTCTTGTGCCTTTAGTTTAGATACCTGTCAAAGTCTACACAGAGTCACTGTGACTGATGATGGGTGATGAAGATAATAACACAGCAGCAGCTAACACTGCATGAGGACCAGGCTCTGTGCATTCCATGTATTAACTCCCTGAAGTCCCTGGCTACCCTTTATGGTATGCAATATTCTTAAAATATGCGGTAAGGAACTATTCAATTTACAAATGATAAACTGAAGCTCTGAAGTGTTAAGGCCTGGTCCAAGGTCATGTAGCTTGGAAGCTGCAGCACTGAGAGCTGGACCTTGGGTCTGACCTGTGTCTGCAGTGCTGAGCCGAACGAGGAGCCTGACCAGGAGCCTGACCCACAGGCACTGCTGAATTCTCTTCTGTTTCCACAAGTGCTCATGGAAAAAGGCTGCGGATTCAGGGAAAAAGTGTAGCTTGACAAAGAAATTAAAACTGGGATATCATCGTGTTGAGGATTGTGACCTGAGAGTAAAATGGGCAGCGAAATAAGGGAGGAAATAGCCCTAGTTGTAAGGATATTTCTAGGGAAGGTGGTCATTCCCCTACTGGGCTGGTATGGAACTTATTCTCCCTGAGAGCTCCTTGTTGGCCTGTGTTTATAAAAAGGGAGAGGGAGAGGGAGGGAGAGAGGGGGAGGGAGGAAGGGGGAGGTAACTGTTCAGATTGGTCCAAAGTCTATACAGGTTGCAAAGGACTGTGTTCTGTTCCCTCAAGCTGGTACACATGCAGGGTATGAGGCTGCTTAGCTAATGACCAGCGAGTGGCTAGCAAAGGCCAAGGGGTGGGGTGGAGAAGAGAGATGGAACCCACCCTAAAGCCCCCCTCCTTGAAGAACCTCTGCCCTAGGACACAAGGAAGGTAACACATGAATGGAACGCAAAGTGCTTATACGTACTTCATCATCAAATAGTTAATATTTTAAGTTGATAGTTTGGAATATATGGTAAAATATGGTAGAATGATAGTTCTTATTTTAGGGTCCTCCAACTGTAAGTGGACAGATTTCTATCCCTGTTATAAAAGCACTACTGGATAACTCCTTTTATAGTCCTGTGAGGATTAAGAGAGTTGGTACTTACTGTTATTACTATTACCATGTTTCTATTGAATAAGAACTTTAGCAAATGAATAATAGTATAATGGTCACTATTAGCAACTGCTCCCATAAGAGGTCTTGACTTTGTAAGTCGTGAATAATAATATAAACAGTTAAGAACATTAAAAAATAACAATCACAGTTACAACTGTTTTTATATGAAAAATAGTATTGGCATCTCCCTCCCATTTTAAAAAAAAATAGCTAACATTTGATTCTTTAGGTAGCAAAACTAATGCATTTTTGGGTTTTTCAAGGTCTTTCCCCTGTGAAGCCTAGGTTTACTCACATTGGTCACCACAGCCAGAATTGCTATTCCTTGCATGATGGGCTGCCATGCTCCGATGTCTTGGGCTTTTTCTGGAACCATGCGTCTATACTGGGTAGTCATTTTCCATGCGTCCACTCTTATTTCCAATATATTGTTCACCAGAGCCAACAGAGGGGCCAGTGGAAAAGAGGCCACAAATAAGGTGACGAACCCAAACTGAATAACTGTCAATGGAATGGACACGCATCATGGAATGGTGGGTGGATGGAAGGACAACATATTTTCCTTTACTCTTATAAAGAAAAAGGCAAACGACAAACTAAATCCCAAAGAGAAAAGACACCCATGGTAATAACAATGTTCAACAGTGAAAGAACCCAAACAGAAGACAAATGTGAAGTCTCTGGAAAGAAGACTAGTTATAGCTGGTTTCTTTCATACATATACACTTAGTAGGAATAATATATTTAAAATCTTTAATCAACTAAAGTTATTTGCTGGCAGTAAAGTTGGGGCACTTTGTATTATTCATTCTCTGTTGAAATAATAGAATGTTGGAAGATGATTCGTGATTTAGGGTTAAAAAAAAAGAACAGGAATATTGTGGAAGCATCTAACAAGTTAAAAAGAAATAAGAAATGGACTTTTGGGAAGGCTATGTTTAGAGAATGTTAGAGGAAATATGCTGTAAACAGGCAAATGAGCAAGCTCCCCTGAGTCTGCAAATGCAATGCAGTGCATTCAGAGAATCTGAATCACAGAAATGTATGTGATGAAAGTGGCCTAATAAGGCAAAATATACTTCTTTAGGAATTTTTATCTTGAAGTTGTTGCAGTCTATGTGGTCACAGTAAGTAAAAATTCAAGTGATGGCTTAGAAGTTCTTTTCTTCCTCGTCTGTAATTTATATGGCATCACTATAGACAGGACATCAGAGATTTGGGGCAAGCTGTACCATGGCGGTAAAGGTTAGAAATGAGATGGCCAGAGATCTAAAAGAAACCTTTCAAGTAAATTAGTACAGATAGGGAACTAAGGCTGTGAATAAAAGGAAGCTTTACAGCCCCTTTATGCCTATAGCTCAGAAAAGGGGCAGGGACCAATCTGGCCAGGAAGGGCAAGACTATGGAGGGGTATGTAGGTAGAAGGAACGGCGTGCGCTTCTGGTCTGAGAGGCCCGGGTGTGTTGTAGAAGAAGAGAGAGGGCTGGAAAGATCTGGCAGGTCCACAGGCCAGGCAGGAGCCGTCATCTTCAGGGAAGACAGGCAAGGACCAGAGCTGGTGATGTCATAGACACTGACACCAGTGCTTGGTGCTATGCTGCTGACTATGGGTATGCACCACCTACCCCGACAGGAACTCATCCGCCTGCAGGCGCCAGGCAAGAACAGAAATGTGTGGAGGGGGTGCAGTCAACTGTGGTATACTGGCAAGTGCGTAGCCTAATGAAAGGGACTACTCACAGCTGCCACATTGGAATGAGGGTCCAGTGTTGCCAGATCTCCTCGTTTATTCAAGAGAAGCCAGAAATTAGGACTATACTGGCAATTAACCCAGTTAAATATCCCAAACAGAAAAGATGCCATTTAAAATAACAATAAAAGTTCAGACTATTTAGGAATAAATTAGTGAGAAATGTTAACACTGATATGATAACGGACTTAAAAAATAAAAACAAATAATGAAAAATGAATGGGTGGTAGGATGTACCATACTCTTAATTGGGCTGACTCAAGTTGCGGGACTTATCAATTTTTTTCTCCAAAACAGAATTTCGAATTCTAATGCAAATTTAGTTAATAATCCCGAACAGATTTTTTTTTAAAGCTGAAAAGTGATGCTAAAGTTTTTCAAGAAATCTCCACAACTACACAAGTAAAATAACAAAGAGAGATGCTTGAACTGACAGTATGAGAGACATTCTGAAAAAGGCTAAGATGGGCCAGTTCTAAGAGATGCTAATGTATATTATTACGCAATGGCAACTCAAACAGTCTAGAGCTAGAGCATTCATTGTATGAATGGGATTTTACTATATTATAAAAAGAGATACTTAAAATCAGTGGATTCAGTATTAGAGCAATTAGCACATCACTGGAAAGACCGGTATGGAGTCCTCACTTCTGACACCAAAATAAATTACAAATGGATTAATTGTAGTAATAATGCACCAGAAAAACCAACATGGTATATAATGTTTTGATGTTCAAGGGAGAAGAACTTTCTAAACTTTTGAAATGAAGAACAATAACAAAAAAGACCTATGGATTCTGCAAGGCAAGAAACACACTGTAAAAACACAAATAATCCTTGCCTAAAATGTTTTCATGACCCTGTATTGCTAACACTCTGCTTTCTTCACTTCGCAGTCAAGTTTTCGAAGAAGTAGCTAAACTACTATTTCTCAACCACTCCTTCCTTCCTCCAAGCCCCACCTCCTGCCTCAGCCTTCACTGCGCTCACTTTGTGGTGACTGCCTACTCCTAAACCAGCGTACATTTTCAGTCCTTATTTGCTGGATTACTAGGCTGCTTTTGATATGGCCAAACATTTCCCTCTCAGTGGAATACTTTTCCCCCTTGATTTTTGTTTTACTGAAATAATTTTAAAAGGCCAAGGTAGGGCTGTGTATGTGTGTGTGCGTACACACCCGTGCACGTGCACACAAATCTTTTTAAATGCTTCCTAGCTATGGAGTGCGGCTTCTACCTTTCCTCACTGTCCAGCAATGAAGTGTGGGCTTGGGCTCTTGCTTCCTCACCCTGCCTGCACATTTTGCATCATGCTCCTTTTAGTCAGTGTTCAAATCCCTCTTAAGCAACGTTATCACCCTCTCAGATTCTATGTAGACACAACCCTCTGCTACTACATTTCTTCCAACTGTTCTGCTATTCTTCCTTCTCTTCATGGATCTCTTTCCCCATTTACCCTTTTTTTTTTTTTTTAAGATTTTATTTATTTGAGAGAGAGAGAATGAGAGACAGCATGAGAGGGAGGAGGGTCAGAGGGAGAAGCAGACTCCCCGCTCTGCAGGAAGCCCGATGTAGGACTCGGTCCCGGGACTCCAGGATCATGACCTAAGCCGAAGGCAGTCGCTTAACCAACTGAGCCACCCAGGTGCCCCCCCCATCCATTTACCCTTTAAATGCCCTTTCCTCAGGGCCTCATCAATTCTGTGCCTGGCATGCTGCATCACTCCCATGGCCTCACCTCCAGCTCCTCTGAGCTCCAGGTGGATCCAACTTTCTAATGGATGTTTCTATGGACAGATCTCACAGACCCCCTCACACTCAAAAATATCCAATGCCTAACCATTTTCTTGAAACCAGCTCTTCTCCTCATATTCAAGCTCCTGGAAATTATCTCAACAATTCTATTCCTCACCTGCTATACTAGTCCTCTCTTTAACACATATCAAATCTGTCTCCCTGATCTCTATTCCTATGCCTGCTGCCTCTATTCAGGTGTGGGGATTACCCAGTAGTGTAGGTTACCTGGTGTAACCTCCCAAAATATCCTTTTCCTTCCAAATATCTTCCATTCTGCAGCAGAATGATCTGATCTTTTTCAACATAAACATTATATAATTCTCTTGCTTAAAAATATTCCAGTGCGTAAGGATAAGTTCATTAAGGATAGGTTCTAGGGACTCCTGGGTGGCTCAGTCGGTTAAGCATCTGCCTTCAGCTCAGGTCATGATCCCAGGGTCCTGGGAACAAGTCCTGCATCGCTCCCCCTGCTTGTGTGTGTGCACGCTCTCTCTCTCTCTGACACATAAATAAAATCTTAAAAAAAATAAGATAAGTTCTAATCCCCTGGCTAAGCACACGAGACCCATTATGACATAGCCCTTGCTTACCCGATATTCCCACCTTTGGATCCTTTGTTCTCACCATACTTTGTTTACTTGCCACTCTTTGAACTGGCCAAGCTGTTACATGCCCTGGTACTTTTAAATGGGTCTACCTCTCTGCATGAAATGTCTATTCCCTTTACCATGCTTTAGGTAGACAACTTCCATCCATCCTTCAAAATCCAGTTCAAAAAGCACCTGCTCTAGGAAGTCTGATCTTCATTCACCTTCTTAACAATCTGCCAGGTATTCACCACCCCTCCCTTGGCTCTCTGAGGGCAGGCACCCTGTCTTCCTTATGTTGATATCGCCACCAATCGATACAGTATTTGGCATTCCAGGTGCTCCAAAAATGTTTATTGGATGAATGAATGAATGAGTAAAGAGAGAGGAGGCCTGCAAAGATGAGGAAATATCAATGTAGGTGGTGGGCAGAAACAGTAGAGGTGAGGGAGTGGGGGAAGACAGGCCTGAGTCCTGGAGAGTGTAGGGGGTGCTTAGCTGGGGTTAGCACTGGAGAGACAGGAAAAGGGGTGGGCATGAGAAGATGCTGAAGAAGTGTTCATATTAATTATAGTAAATTAAATGGAGAAAATAATAGATGAGGGTCATTGTTTTACTAGATCTTTTTAAAACTTAACTTGGAGATGGAGGACAGTGAGGTCAAGTTAGGAAGGGGAGAAGAGGCAAGAACAGAGAAAAACAGGGCCGCTCCATCACTTTACTGCATTTAATTTGTGGCACCTGCCCCCTGGGAAGCCATCACTAAGCTCTCAAGAGACTGGTGTCTATGCTGTGTCATGCTAGAAGCACAAGGTATTTTATGGCTTCCAGATTTTAGTCTGACAGGCTCTTTCTCTATAACCTGTGTCTGAATTCTCAGAAGTTAGGAACATACACCTGGGGAGGCAATTTTGGTTAACACACCAGGGTTACTTTAATAATCTCCAAGGATGATGGACATAAATAAAGTAGAAATTTCACTCAAAAATAAAACCCAAAAAACATGCCATAAAGAACTTCACTGGGATGGTGGGGACAATGTTAATGTAAACTCAACGAACAGCTGTATGTGTGTGTTGAAACTCCAAGCTTAGGTCACTTAAATGAGTATGAGGTCCAGACAGTGGTGCTCCAGCTGAGGGCTTAAAGATGCAAAGGTCCTGGTAGCCACCTTGGGGGGAATCAGTCTAGCCAGGGGGACAGGAATGCACACAGTCAGATGCCATCAAGGCAAGAATTAAGCGCTGTTAATGCCTAGAGAAAAGAGCAGCGAATCTGTGTGAAAAGTTGAGGGTTACTGCTGAGGCTTGAAAGGAGTTCCTCAGGTAGAGAAGCAGGGAAGGGTGTTTCAGGCAGAGGGGAGTTCTATCCCCGCCACTGGGCAGAGGGGAACAGAGCTGGTAGCTGGGTACGAGGCTCCAGGGTTTTATGCCGGAAGATGGTTCCCTTCAGCAGCTAGGAGGCATAACTAAAACGGTAGATGGCGGTGTCATTCATGAATATGGGGGGAAAACCAGAAGGAGGGAGTTGTGGTGATGAGACCATCACTGGAGGCACTCTATATTTATTTTGGAGGAACAAAAATAATTCAAAAAGCACTTGGCAATTCTATCTCCCAAAAAGTAAAATAACAAAAAGTAGATTTCGCTCTGGTGTTGAATACAGATCAGAAACAGATTAATTTTTCTAATTCATTAGGTATTAGTTAGATAGTAGGAAAACAATGTAATAATCTAAAAAAAATCTGTAACAGTTGTTATTCCATCCTTTCTTGTAGGAATTACTTTGTTGGTGATTATTTTAATGAGACTATGAAATTCTAAAAGTCATGCCAACTTCTCCCCAAAGCACAACCTTTTCCTATAACTTCTCACAACACTATTTATTTGACTAGTCAACTACAGAAAAATAACTTTTTCCAAGATATATTTTTGGTGCTAAAATAACAAATGATATTCTGCCCCAGAATGTTGTTATTAATGCTGGTAATAGGTCCAATAAAAAATATTTACAGTAATGACTCATTTTGGAATCAGAGGTAATTGTCTTGCAGTCCTTTCGAAAATAAACAGAATAAATAAATAAATATAGCTTCTACATTATGTACTGAAGCTATACCCTTAATCGAACCTGGTCATGTAACATAACAAAAGCAAAAATGAAATTCAAATCAAACTCCAGGCTGCAAAGTGTTGTTGACTGAAGAAGCTACAAGATGAACCTTTCACTCACTGAAGGAAGCAGATGTGTTTCCATGTATAATGTATATTTTTAAAAGCAATTATTTTATATATAGAACGTGATTTAATAAAACCATCCTCTATCTGCAGACTTGTAAACAGGAACCACAAAGAGGTATCTTTGCAAACACACAAACTCCTCTGCATAAAAGCAAGGCCTGTCAACCAAAATGTGTGTTTTCTATTCTCCTAAGCTTAAAAAAATTGTAATTCAGTGCCATGGTTAGCTGAAAGGGCACAGATACAAAACGAGTAAATAGTAAGCCTTCTATTAGATACAAGTGTGTCATGCATAATAGAAAAGACAGTGTTTCCTCTGGAAATGTTTTTGAGAGGTGTCCATTTAAAGGCACCCAAGAGCTCAGAATCAAGTCCAACAGAAGAGAAACAGAGCCCAAGCAAATACTGCACAAACGGACAAAGGCATTCAAGAAAGAAGGGACCTGTCCTAAATCATAATTCCAAACCAGCAAAATGTGAGTTCTAAATTCAAGCCAGTGATTAGCCATGAGGTCACTCAAGCAACCATGCAAAAATGATGGGCCAGGAGAAAGAGATACGCTGTCAAAAGCAGGTGGGAGGTGTGAAAGGGGAAGCCTGTGATCTTTCCTGCCTCGAAACAGCATGCTCCTACAGGCTCTCAGTCCAGGCTGGATCAAATGACTCATTCAGAAGTGTATCCGCCAACAGCTGTGCCGGCGTGGACTCCAGCCCAAGCTGAATCACCTCTAATAATAGTTCTGAGTTCATTCTCAGACAGCATGGGTAGAGCGCACTGAGAATGGTGAGGATGTGCCTCAGTGAATATTCCGTTTCATTGCTTAGTAATAAACCTTTAGCTCTGTACAACAACTGACAAAGATACACACAGTCACCTTATTTGAAAGCCTGATTGTGTCATTTTATCTAGTGGAGAAAAGCACGTCTTTCTTCGTTTCAATATGCCAGGTAATTATTTGGGATCCAAAACATGTTCCAATATAATTTATGTCACCTAAAACTTCACTAAGGACTTACTCATTTCAAGATATTCATAAAACAATCCCAGTTTGCCCATGAGCTGCAGGTGGTAGTCTTGTTCCCATCGCGGGGTTATTTTTTCTGCTCTGGAAGCTGTGCGACATCGTCCAATTAGGTTCTTGACCCAGCTGCCAAAAAGATCAAACTATAAATTAGAATATTATCAAATTATTTTGCAGATATCTCAAGCTAAACATACAATCTTCCCCAGAAATTAATTGCTTGTTTTCATGCTAAATTTCTCTTTATTTCTGCCTCCCTACCCCCAAATATTTTGAAAAACTATTATTTATTACCAGGTTTTATTAAAATTGTAACTGCTACCGTTTTTTCACCCAGCTCCTTTTCATATGGCAGTTAGTTTTTAGAAATAGTTTCTCTCATTTGATTAACTTTAGCTCCCCCTCCCGCCCCATTTGGCTGCTATTATCCAAAATGGTCTTTCCAGTATGAAATCACCAGAGAAAATGAAATACAGACAGACATGGTATGTGAGCTGGTGATCATGCCATGGAGAAGAATGAGGCAGAGCAAGGAATGGAGATTGTCTGCGTTTGTGGTAGGGGGAGTGGAGCGGTGGCGGGAAGAGCTCAGGAGGAGTGACATTTGAATACAAATATGAAGGAGGCAGAGGAGAGAGTGACTATGGAAATCCAGGGGCAGGAGCACCGCAAGGAGCCTGGGGTGGTCCTGGGCTAGAAGGAAACCACTCTGGTAGTTTTGAGCAGTGGGGAGCCTAAGAGAGACCACTGTGAGGAATTGGGCATTTTTTACTCTGGGGGAAGCAGCGAGCCATTAAAGGTTTCTGAGAGAATGGGGAAATAGGGATATATTTTTATTTTAGATGAAACAGGTCCAAGGCCATGTTTTAAGCTGAATAAGTCAAGAACCTGGGTAGTGAAAATGCCCAGTGCTCTGCTCTATCGGACACTGGCCCCACAGAATCGTCTGTTGTCTCTTATGTTTTCTTTCTCAATGCCTCCAGATAAATGTGCCCCCTCCCCCCCGCTCCCCGCCTTTTATGGCAATTTTTTCTGAAAAGAAATTGAAGTTGGCAGTGAAATGAAGTGTGCACCTGTAGTCTAAAGAACCGTTGTCCCCTCAGGCAACAGCTAGCTTGTGGTTTCCTTGTGGAACTCACCATAAGGGGCACAACAGCAGCAAACAACTTCAAATACAAACATCTGGGCTAAGCTTTGGATGATTCAAGAACATGCTTGTACAGATTTTCAAATTCGGATAATGAGAAGCTTCACCCTCCCGTAAAGACAACTCTCGAGGTTGCACATGCACCCCCGCCCGGAGAGATGAATTACAAATAGCCTGTCATGCTAAGTGTCCTACTGGTCTCTGTGGTAACTTTACTGACCACTCCCCAAGGTTCACGAGGGGGAGACTGCTCTACAACAGAACATGCCCCTGGCTTCACGATCTTGCCCCACTTCTTTCTCTTCTGTGACATTAGGGACACAGCAGGAGGCTGTGGAAAGTGGAGGGGACACGGCCTCAGACACCCCTGAATCCGAATCCACACTTCATTGCTTACTATCTGACTTGCGTCAAATTCAAATAAAATCAGGTGATAAAGCCTATACTGCCCAGGGTTTCTGTCAGGATTAAATGATTCAGAACAGATAAAGTATTTAGCACATTTTCTAACACATCAAAACCCCCTTCACAGGATTTTCTTTTGACCAATACAGGCTAACTGGCTGAGGCTGATGGTAAACACGGCCTCAGTGACTTGGCATCTTGGCTTGGGGACACCCAGTGCTGTCTTGATGGGTGGATCTCACTTCAGCACTTAGAATGACCCGGAATGCTTGTTGCTAGTGTTACTTCCTATGCCCCATCCCAAAGCTCTGTAATCAGTCAAGTCTAAGGCAAGGCTGGAACTTGACGGGGGCCTTGTGACACAGGTGGCATCATCCATCACCCTTCATGACAACCAAACTCGAGAATCCTGGTTTCTATTGTTTTGTTTTGTATTTTTTTGCTCTGCCTCACACTTCCAGCCTCAGCCTCTGGACAGAATCCTCATGGCCCAGAGAAGCATTCTTTTACTATAGGGGCTCCAAATCCATTACAATTTGGACTGAGGATGAAACTTCTGTTCTGGCAACCACTTGCATGACCAACTCATCTAGCGCTTCCTTCTGGTACTGTTCTGCCTTCCTTCACCCGTAATAGGTCATATTAGAAGTCTTTCTGACTAGCTTTCTTTTCTGAGCTACAGACTCTGAGCCTCTTGTTCAGCCTTCCTGAGTTGAACCACTTATCTGTAGTAGGAAAATCTTGGGCTGTCATCCATTCATCACTGTCCTCGGTCTTTTGGGTTTTCTAGTGGGTTATGAATCTAGTGCAGAGATATCAATCTTGACTGCACATGAGAATCACCTAGAGAACTTCTTAAAAATTCAGATACCAGATACCCCTGGCTACGGTTGGAAGCTTCCTCCCTCTAGCAGGGGTTACAAAATAGCCTTCTTAGGAACTTACCATGCATACTAGCAATAAAAGTTGTAACTGTAACTGTAAAAAGTTACCCTTCCCTAAGTCCTTATTATGTGTAAAGCATGGTATAAAACACTTTATACCTCATTTTCTCTTTGTTTCTTCATTATCATATGTAATCCACATGCTACAGATAATCACCATTTCTATTTAAGGATATTCCACAGTATTCCTACTTGCTAATTTTGAATACAAGCATCCTTCACTATCTGAATCTATTTTACTGTTCCTGAAAGTAAAGGGTCAGTGTGGATAGTGAGGGATAGCTGTATTTAGGGTTCTCTTATCGTATGTCTTTGGTTCATCCTCTAGCCAAATCAGATCTTGAGAAGGGTATTTTCTCTTATAATAGTTTACTGTAAGTAGTGCATACCCATTGTGAAAAATACAGAAAACATATAATGGATTAAAATTACAGCCATCCATTATCTAAGTACCAAAGAACAATGCTATTGGTACTTTGGATATTTAACTATAATTATGTTCCTTAACATTTTATCATAAAAACTTCTCCAGAGTGAGTGGCTCCATGCAGCAATTGTATTAGCCTTTTGTCAAGCACAGAATAAAATTCCCAGGAATGCTTCAAATATCAAAATACTAAGTGAGGCTGGGATGGACAAAGGGCTCTGAGCTTGTTCTCTGGGTCCAACAAACAATTGTGTTACTTTGCTGATGTTATGTATTTGAAGCCTATGGCTCACTCATTCACTCGACTGGTGCTGGGGAGTGTCTGCTAAATCCTAGGTACTGATTTAGGTGCCAGGGGGACCCCAAAGGGAACCGGGGTCACAGTGCGAGAGGTGCTCCTTCATTCGCTCCATGAATCGACACTGAGGATCTCAAGTGGAGTGGGGGTGGAAGGCAGCAAGCTTATGGTGACATTCATTTCATTATGTTCCTTCTGACATATTCAAATGGTGTGAAAACAGCTACTGACTTACATGGCTTTTCTCTCCCTTCCTGTGTATTTTTGGGGTGAGGGCAGTTTTGGGAAGCAAGAGTAACTGCTCTTTCACTTTGTGTGGAAACAGTAAGAAGGAAAGTGGCACCTAGCCCAATGAAGAGTGATTGAGAAGAGCCCGAGTCACTCTCTAAAGTGGCTAAAATTTTGCATTCCCAGTTTTCAGACAAGGGGAAGATAATTCAAAATGTACTGCCCCTAAGTATTTTAGGCCAGGGGTAGAAATAGCTGAACAAAAAGCTTAGCTTACTAAAATTTTGCAACAATGGCCTCACTTGAAGTGCATGTATAAATAGACCATGGATACTATATACATCCTTTATTTTTAAATATTTCATGTGAACAAGTTTCATTTCATACAAATTTCTCAGTACCAGTTTAAGAAATATATGCTCCCCCCCCCCGCCACCAAGGGCCACTATTTTTTTAAAATCAGAAAATAGCTCACTGACAACCAATTAGTCCTCAAAATTTAGTTTAAATAACTAGCCTACTTCCTTCAGAAAAATGCTTTTTACTAATCTGAGTTAAGCCTTTCCTCTATTTGATATATTTATTTTCATATCCAGTATTTGTGCATGACCTACTTCTACTCATTTGGAAAAATGTGAATATGAACTCAGTGAAGGTAAGGGTTGTTTACTGCCTAGTAAGGCCCCAAAGCATTAATTTTACAGCTAAGATCAGAATCCATTTTTTTATGAGGTGGGGAGAGGTGAGGAGAGAGCTGGTAGGGAGGAGGAGTGTCTGTTTAGAGCAGACCCTGACAGTTTCCATTGAAGGTGGAGGATAAAGCCTGGTGAAGAAACATGGAAGGGCACATGGAAACCCGGAGGTTTCTGCTCTACAAAGACGGGGAAGAAAAAAAAGAGGTTAAATGCTCCGCAAAGAGAATGAACAGGAACCTGGTAACAGGGAAGAGAGAGGAGAAGTGAGGGGAAGGAGGAGGAAAAAAGAGATGGCGGAAGACAGGCAGCAAAGTCTGGAGCTTACAAAGAAGGGTGATAGGAAAAAAAAAAAAATCCAGTTATATATAGCGGGAGGAAAGACTTTTAAAAGATGGGGGTTTTTTAATTTCAAAATTAAAGTTGTTTGGGTTTCTGGCTCCATGTCCCAAATGTCAGTAAAGGCTGCCTGTGTGAGTGGTTTTGGGAGACACTGAGGAGAGAGACCACAACTGGCATTTGGGTTGGCATAAGCAGAAAGTATAGATGTGGGAGGCAAGACAGGAGAGACATCAAAAGTTTTGTGAGAACAGAAACTCAGAGCCAGAAATTGTCTTGACAAGGTATGTGGGGGTAGTCAGAAAAATGGTCCCCCAACAGATAGCCACATCCCACTCCCCAGAACACACGAGTATGTTACGTTACATGGTTAAGGCAGAATTAAGGTTGCGAATCAGCTGACATTAAGAGAGATTTTCCTGGATCATCCAGGTGGGCCGAATGTAGTCACCAGGGTCAATCAAAGAGGGAGGGAGAGAGCTAGGGGATGGGACTACAGAAGTCAGACACACAGCCACACGGCTGGCTTGGAGATGAGAAAAGAAGCCATAAACCACGGAATGTGGACAGCTCCTAGAAGCTAGAAAAGGCAAAGAAACAGATTCATCTTAGAGGCTTCTGAAAGGGATCTGGCCCCTGCCAACACCTTGACTTTAGCCCACTGAAACCTGTGTCAGACTTGTGACTTCTAGAACTGTAAGATATTGAACCTGTGTTGTTTTGTGGTTTTTTTTTTTCCATTGTCGTCCCATTACCATTAGGTTGCTGGTAATCTGTTCGGCAGCAATAAAAAAGGAATATAATAAGCCCCCTGAAAATGTGCAGAAATTGAGACAGCACTGGACTATTCACTTTGATTTAGGATAGGGCTTAAGTGAAGATTTAAAAGGACACTGTGACCTTGGCTAACCTGTGACACTCTCATTTCTTAGGGAAGGAAGAGGAAGTCAAAACATTTGTGGTTATTATTTTAGGTGATTTTTTTTTTAAATATAGTTTTTTTTTTTAAGGATTTTATTTATTTATTTATTTGAGAGAGAGAATGAGAGAGAGAGAGAGCATGAGAGGGGGAAGGGTCAGAGGGGGAAGCAGACTCCCTGCTGAGCAGGGAGCCCGATGCAGGACTCGATCCCGGGACTCCGGGATCATGACCTGAGCCGAAGGCAGTCGCTGAACCAACTGAGCCACCCAGGCGCCCCATAGGTGATTATCTCTTAAAACATTATGTAATCTTGTGCCTTAGGACCACAAGAGAACTCCTGTTGAAAGCACATGGGTTTGGAGTCCTGGGATCTTGGATTTGAATCCCACAGTAGCCTCTTATGGATAATGAGAACATGGGTAAGTCATTTAACCGCTTTAAGCCACAGAATCTTCATTTGTATAAGGGAGATAAAAATAAGGATTGTCTGAAAGATTAAATGAGAGAGATCTATCAAGCACTTAATACGGTGACTGGCACATACTAGGAACTCAACAAATTACTACTCTTGATTTTTAAAGCATACTATAAGGGAGGAGAAAGTCATGAGAAGTTGGAGAAATATTTAGTTCACAGCCCCAACAAAGGTCATCTCTCCAAGAACTAGGATCAGTCTGCTACCAACAATGGGCTAATAGGCATAAACTGTAGCAGATGGTGATTTAAGTTAAATATAAAATTTTTTTCTTTGTAACATAATTATTAAACACTGGATATATTTACACCGTTGGTTGGACCATCTTGTCTGCAGACCTTTAATAGAGTTTACTCTATTTTAGAGGGGGGCATGCAGCTGTGTGAACACACAGGCAAATGATTTGGATGGGTGGGCTGTTCTCTCCCCAGTCATAGCCCCGAGATCACACAACTTCATAATACTCACGGAAGTAACACCTCTTGTATGTTATTCCAGATTGCTTTGCCTCCCATGATTATCGTCAGCTGTGTTGTCAGTTCAAGGAGACAGCCACCTGGGTCACACTGGAATATTACAAAGAAAATCCCATTTAAATTCTAGATGGGTCTAACATGAAATTGAGTCATTAATTTTACTTTTTGCTGATATTTATTCTGTTGAGGTGAAAATCTCAAGAATATACAGTGAAGAAACTCTTCATTGGGCACCCGGGAGAAAACACGAAGCAGCTTAAATTGTCAAGAGAACCCAATTCTAAGTTCGTACCTCTTCATTTCTGTATTTTCCCAGCCAATAGACTGGGTCTCCTGGATAACCTACAAATTTGCCCTTAAAGAATGCGATGTAGAAGCATGAAGAATAGTAGTTGACAAACTGGAATAAGAACATCTTCATGGTCAGGCTGTTCTCATAATCAGTCTGGGTCCTTGGGAGTTCTGTAGTTAAATAAAGGTAAGATTTTAAAATTGTGAACAGCTTTGAGACCCTAATCAAAGACACTGATACATGAGTTAACATGTTTTAAAGAAATACAATTCACACTGTTTCCGTTTAAGCTGTTTTGAATTTCTTAATATAGCTACTGTGTTAATTCCAAGTTTACACATTGTTATGAGTCCCCCCTCCCCCTTCCACCAAAAATACAATATCCCATATGGCAAAAATATTCAAGGATTCCTTAAAATTTACGAGCCCAGTGTTATCAAATGGACAAGGCTGTGCTCTCTCAGGTCTAAGTGGACAAAAAAATTATTTGTGAATAGCCTGCTAAAGATACTCTCTTGTCTTCCTGAATTGCAACAAGATAGGACTGTTGAAACAAACAAAACAAGGGAGAACTAGTTATAAGCATTTGGAGAAGACAAAACAGGTCATCCTTCTAGTTTAGAATTTAAATCAGTCTGATCATTTTCAGAAGATGACCACTGAGCAGACCATTCGGACAATGACCCAGGCATATACAGCATGTGGGGAGCGCTTAACTCTGACCACTAAGCAGCTGCCTGGGATACAAGCCAGGGAGAGAGAAACATTTATTGCAGAAGCGGGAGCTGATGAGAACATAGCTATATTAATATGAACAGCATGGGGGGAAGCCACGCAACAGTGTGATTACTTGTCCTCTCAGCAAAAGAGGAGCATATTTGCCACTGGAACCATGACCCTGTTCCACTTATTTGCAATAAAGAGACTATTTACTTTCAACAACAGGGTACGTGATCTAACGTAATTGAAAATATTATTCAGCGCTGATCTGTTTACACAGAGCTCGGACATTATAATGATTGTCTTTGCTTTGTCCCTTTTGCTAATGCAAAGCTGTAGATAATTCATTTCCCACACAGGTTAGATAAAATATGTTTACACTTGAAATTTTCTAAAATTTGTAAAATACCGAAATTGAAATGCCTAAAAGAGACAGACTCTCTCTTTCACCAGGTTCTAAAAATGTCTTACAAATGACCTAAGCTATAATAGGACCTTACCAAAATTCGTAATCATGATGGCTACTTTTTCATATATGATGTTCAGAATCATGATGATGACAAAGCTGATGAGGGAAGCTGTGATAGACGTGGCTGTCTGTGGAGTCAGGTACTTCTGGATTGAGTCTGTCCCATTTAAGGTCTCGGGAAGTTTGGTAGAAAACACAATGAACACTGAGAGCCTGTAGACAATGATCCCAATAACGGAAGCAATGATCAACAGGATCTGGAAGCACAATAAACAGCAATATGAGCTTCACGAGTAGTATTTTTACATTTCAAAATGCACCCCTCTGTGTGAATGGACAAGGTGCATGTGTGAAGGGACGGGGACTCACAGAACTGCCACGAGAAAGGTGGAAATTGGTCATGTTAAATTTCAAAAAAGGGAAAGGAATGATGGAGGTCAGAAGAAGAGTGTATCCACTGAGGGAAAATGTTAACAATGGGAGAAACTGCATAGGAGGGAAGAGTACCTGGGAAGCCTGTACTTTCTGTGCAGTTTGACTGCAAACCCCAACCTGCTCTAAAAAAGATTTAAAAAAAAAAGAACGTATCTTCAGATGAGGAAAAAGCAGAATAGCAGAACCTGTGAAAACATCTCTCCTACAGTTACAGCATCCTGTAGGGTATGCATTAAAGTTTTTGCTTAGTTATCATCCACTAAGGGGACATGTTTCCTTCCAACAGAGAACCTAGCGCTGGTTCAAGGGTCAGTAGGTGCTAGCTTCTGTCTTAGTCACCTGCACGAGGTGAGATTCTGAACAGGACGAGGGAGGCTGCAGACGTGCCCGGAGGGAATTTGGAGAGGACAGCAGGTATCGGCTGATGAAAGCTTCACACACTTTTCACCCTTAGATCTCAAGATCTGAAATGGGCAGTGATTCATACCTGCATGTGCACAAGATTCATTTCACTAATCAACTGTATTTTTGCCGGCACAGACCCCACGTCAGTGGGGGGGGGGGGACGCGTCTGAAGCCCAGTTTGTACGTAGGTGGTAGGATGTCACTTCCTCGCAGGTTTTCTCCCGCCCCTGAGTAATGCACATCGAAGGGTACCCTTTCTAAACTTTTTTCCCTACATCTACTTTCTTGGACTTACTCCAAAGCATGCAGTCAATGTGCCCAACTGCTTGTGATGACTGCTACCAGAGAGAAAAGCTACCAAGAATGTGCATTTCAGGGCCAAGCAAATCATGTTGTGTTGTTTACAGCAACACAGGGAGGCTGGTTTCCACCTGTGGAGATTTCAGGTGGGGCCCCGGAGCCAGGTTCCTGCATTGGAAGCCCAGCTCTGCCTCGAGCTGTAGGACCTTGTGCAAATTATTTAACCTTTGGGGCTTCAATTTCTTTGCCCATATAGCGAGGGATCCTATTGGGAACTAACTTCCAGGACTGTTGGGAGGATTTAATGAGTTACTCCAGGTAAAAACACTTAGAACATTAAGCCCAGGCACATGAGAAGTACTATATAAATGGTAGCTGTGAATATGGTGACTGAAGTGTTAACAAGACGCTTTTCTTACTTTTAAAAAGCCATCAGTGTGTAGAGAAGGCATGATATTTCCCCTTCTAATTTCTCTCATTATCTCCTTCCCTTCACAGTTAGGGCTTAATACTTGTGAAAGGAATGACATGTTTGTGTGCGTTTGTGTGCATTTATTAGCCCAGGCAGAGAAAAATGTATTCGAGAAGGTATGTCCAGCCTTCCTCTCTGAGCACAACAAATATAGGCCATTTAAATCATACATATTTTTTAAAAAATCTCCATAATAATTTTTTAAATTACTAAGTAATTATAATAGTTGAGATTCTTTAAATGCTTACTCTTCACCTCAGCACACACATATTTTTAAAATCCTCAACATCAGTCCTATGAGATAGGTAGTATAGTATCTTTTACAGCGGAAAAAAGAGCCACAGAGATTAAGACTTGGACCCAAATTAAGAAACTAGTAACTGAAAGAACTGAGGTACTCGGAGACTTCAGAGTCTACATGGCACTACCTCCTCCATGGGTCAGGAAATGATTTCTAACTCATTTCAGAGCTTTTACAAACTTAGTATGTTTCCATACTTCTTCGGGGCACTTGGTAGGTTCAGTATTTCTTCCCGGGAGGAAGATTTTCATTCTCAACCTCCTTATGAATCTTTTCTGATTATAACTTTAATATATGATCATAGAACATTTGAAATTACTCCATAGTGGACACTGGTTACTTTTGCTGCCTTGGATCTGTTCCCAGTCTTAGAAGAAGACCCAGATTTTGCTTTGGGGGAATAACCTCTCCTTCATTTTCAGTCCTATGGTTTGAGCTGGATTGTCCCCCTGCTCCCCGGGCTTTACAGGTATATCCTGATTGGTTTGAGAAAAACAGGTATCTCATCCTCTTGGCCTCAGCAACTGATTCAAGGACTGACAAATAACTTACTAAGAGCCAGTGGGATGTGAGGAGAGATCTGCTAGTGTCTATGGGAAAGAGAAGTTTGCTCTGTCAATAGAGAAAGCTGCTAACAGAAACCTCTCTTGGCTTGCATGTGATGTGAAATCTGGAATCCTGCAGCCATTTTGAGACCATAAGGTAGTGCCTACAACCACAAAGCCAGGAGATCACTGGACACAGAATGAAGGCAGAACAAAACACACAGCCCATGGTGTCATCTGGGCTGCAGTTATCTATCCCTCATGGAAGCCTGGGATTTTTAGTTACAGGAACCAATAAATGCTACCCACCCTCACTTTGTTGTTGTTGTTGTTGGAGATTTTCCATCACGTACAACTGAACGACTCCTAACTAATAAAAATAAAGAATAAAAAATAAAGAGAAAAAATCTATGTACTATCTATATGTAGGCATAATTCCTTCAGAATTATGCATTGTTTGCATATTAAAGATCATGTTACATATTTTATCCTTTCCTTAAGCCTATCATAACCATAACATTTTTACATGTCATAAAATATTTTCATGAACATACTTTCTCATTGCTATACCATATTCTACTGTATGAAGGATTAGAAGTAGGATATTTTGCTGAGATGTTTTTATATATAATAATGCATACACATAAATAAATGTATATATTTGTAATAAATATATATGACTAAATCTTTACTGACTTTTCTTACCATTTTGAAATACTTCCTTATTAAAGGTTTTTAAAAGCTGAATTAGTAGATTAAAGCACATGAATATTTGTGACTCATGAGACTTACTACCAAACTGCTAAGAAGTCCACGGCAGCTTAAAATTCTCAAAGCCTAGGTAGGAGAGAGGCTGATCACTGCACTTCATCCTCACAAACACTAAGCCTTCTCACTTGAGAGGTGAAACACTGTATCTCATTTAAATGGGCGCTGATTTAATTAGTATTGAGCTCTGACATTTGCCAGGGTATTTTTTCTTTTGTGAAAGGGTGTTCCTGTTCTCTGCCTCCTTAGCTCTTGAGATCTTTGGTGTTACCTTACAAGTGATCTGGACTTCTTATGTATTGAAGGTATTAACCCTTTGCCCTTGTTGTTAACAAAAATTTCTTCTGTTTTGTCTAAGCTTAGAATGCTACTGATGTGTAGAAATCTTTAAAGATTTTCCTCTGAAACTTCTTCCACTGCTGTTATGTTTAGAAAGCTTTTTTTTTAATCTAGAGATTGCATATTCATCAATATTTTTTTCTAGTTTGCAGTGTTACCTTTTGAATATTTCTGGAATTATAATATGTATTCAAAGTATGGTTTCAATTTTTTTTTCCCAAAGAGCTAACAAGTGTTCCACTGCCATTTATTAAATAATCCCACTGAGTTATAATGCCTCCCTTCTCATATATTAAATTATTATTGATATGAGGGCCCATATCTGGGCTTTACGTCCTCTTTTCTAATTTGGCTATTCTTGAGCCAATAAAACTCTCAATATATTACTAATGATGATATTACTAACATGACTTTATTAATAATAAAACCCAAAATTAATTTTATAAGTCCTGCTATTTTAGAAATATTATCTTTTTATCTACAACCATTTGTTTCAGTCTTCCTTTATATCTTTCAGTAGTTTTTATGTTTTCTTTGATAGTTCCTATTATTTTTTAAGGCTATTCCTAGACATTGTATTTTAGTTGCTACTGTTGGAAAATCTTAGAATTCTTAATGCCTCCCATTTGGTTTCTTCACCAGAAACTGGAAAATCTGGACCCACTCATCTGATTTAAACAGATGAGGTGAAAGGAACTGGAAGAGCCACCGTGAGTAGATAGATACTGAGAGCCGCTCCATGTGGTGGCTGAGTGCTTCTCTGGAAACAATTCTATGAGACACAGAGTTTCCAGCTTGCCTTGAGTTTCCTGGATATTTACAAGTAGATATTAAAAAATCTGTGACAGACTTACCCAGAATAAGACAGCACTTGCACAGAGGGTTATACGGACACATTTTCCCCAGGTAGTGAAGGGAACACGCTCTTGTTCCTTTAAAAAAAAAAAAAAAAGTTTGGTCAATCAAAGGAGTACTCTGGTGAAATGATTTTTTTTTTTCCTCCTGATTGGTCTCTAAATCCTAGGCTTAATTTTTTTAAAAATTAGTTTTCAAACATAGCCCCCTTCCTCATAACTGCATTTTTTTTTTGTTAATTTCAAACATACACACAACAAGGCATCTGCAGTGCTCATTTTAATGTCTTCTGAAAATGCAAGCATGAATAACGAACTATTTATGTGCCATGACCTTAGCTCAGGAGGCTGGGTATCTGACAATGCTAAGCTGTAGAGCTACATTCCTGAGCTTGTCTGAGATGTTAGACATGGCAGCAAGGATGGCGCAGAGCCCCTGTAGGACAGGAAGTTCCACAGGTGTCTGCAAGTTCTAGGTATCCACTACATGTTTCTTGGCTGAGCTTTATATATTAATTTGGTTTAGCTATGAATTTTGAGAGTTTCCATGGCCCATAAGAATATATTTAAGTTTTAAGAGATCAATACTTCTCAAGATTTACCTGGATTACACCAGCAACTGTAGTATAATAATAGCTATAAACACTTACACATTTACTCTATGCCAGGTACTATTCTAAGTAGGTTCTACACATTAACTCAGTTTACCCTTACCACGACCGTGTGAGGAAGCAACTCTATTATTCCCATTTTTATAGTTGAGGAAACTATGGCATACAGAAGTGAAATCATTTGTCGAAGATCATTCAGCTAGTAAGTTGCTGTGTTTGGATTTGCAGGCAGTCTCATTCCCAACACTTCATTACCACACTACAGGCTCTCTAAACCAATGGAGGATGCATTAGCAACAAAAGGAAAATGAGGAAAAAAGATAAAAGAAAAATGACCCTTTATCTTCAATTTTTTAACAAGCAATGTTTCAAAGGAAATTTAACTTACTGGCAATTTTAAGTTACCAAATTGTCTTTTCTTCAGTACTTTTTCTATGTTGCCAATATTATAAGTTTTTTCAGTATTTAAAAGTTGTTTTCAACATTTAATTTTATCTAAGTTTCTGCTTTCATTTCTGAATGTATAGTCTTTCAACAACACATGGTTTGACTTCATCATCTCTCATAGTAAACAGTGAGAACGATTCATAATGGGTATTTGAAGCTTGTCACATTGTAAAAGACAAATGTCACCTCTTGTTGATAACTGAACCTCATTTTTTTCCATTTATAAAATGAGGAGGTTGAACTGCTCCCTCCAGTCCCTTTTAGTGTTGGCATTCTATAAATCTGTGATTCAACTGATAAAATCTATACTTCGGGACATTTTTCCGATGCTCTTGGTAAAAGCATTTTCTTTCCAAGAATTATTCATATTCAGAATTGACTGTCCTTATGCTGATGACTGCAAGTACAATCAGCTCTAAATTTTCTGTGTGGATGGAAAGGAGCAATAATGCAGATCATTCAAAAATTATCTTTCACTGGCTTTGGAATATATATATATAAGAGACAGAGAGAGAAATAGTTTTATTTTTTTATTTTTGTAGCAGCAGTAGCAGAAGCAAATTTACCTTTCCAATTATATAAAATGCCTCGCACAGCCCTAAACAGTTGAATTTCAACGAATGTTTCCCTTCTTCCTCTACCCTTTCACCAACTTTTGGATAAGAGCTGCACAATCTTGTGTGCATCCCAACCAGAAGGTGGGGCAGTCACCGAGGCTTAGAGCAACACAAAGGGCAGCTCCTCTAGGATGAAAAAGGGGTCGTAATAATGTGAGGCATGTGAAAATTTGAGGATCAACTATAAAATCCAATGTGTCCTTCTTATACAACTATGTCATAGAGTCTAATTTTTCTATTTTGCATTTTTTATCAATATGAAAGAAAGGACACAGACCAATGCATCTTTTCTTCTACATTTTATGTTGGAGTCTAATTTTTTTCCCCAATTTTACTTTATTATGAAAGAAGGCATCACATTTATCTCCTATGTCCACCATTCTAAGCAATACTTCTTCATCTTGGCTGCATATTAGAATCACCAGAGAAGCTTTACAAAATCCCTGTGCCCAGGATATACCCCAGGCCACGAAGTACCACCAGCGTATACAGTGATGGGACCCGGGCATCAAGACTTTCCAGGGTCCCCAGGTGATTACAATGTGCCACCAGGGTTGAGAACCACTGTATAAACAGACTAAATTGTATCTACATAACATTCTCTTTACCTGAGTAATCTCATTGATCACCACGTGAGTACACTGTGCCTCATATTCTGGCCGGGGTTGCTCTTCCTGTTGTAACTCAACAGTGTCCCATTCGTACTCAAGTTCCGCCTGGCGCCGCTTCCAAAACTCCAAAAACAAGGTGACTAACAGAGAACAGAAGCATGTAGCTCATCAGTGATGACTGATGTTCCAGAAATCTGTACCAAGTTATTAATTGTTCTAACTATCCAAAACACTTTTATACAGTCAGTGAAGTCTAACATACAGGTGATACTAATGTTTAAAAGAGAGAAGTTTTTTTTTTAAGATTTTATTTATTTATTTTGACAGAGAGAGAGAAAGAGAGCACAAGTAGGCAGAGAGGCAGGCAGAGGGAGAGGGAGAAGCAGACTCCCTGCGGAACAGGGAGCCCAACGTGGGGCTCGATCCCAGGATCCTGGGATCATGACCTGAGCCGAAGGCAGACGCTCAACTGACTGAGCCACCCAGGCGCCCCGAGAGAAGTTAATTTTTTTAAAGATGACGTTGATAATTTATTCAACTTGTGAAAACAGACTACAGCCACGGGAAAGGTAATAACATGATGGGCAGAAGGCATGTGTGTGTGTCTAATGCTAAGGCGTCTGCTACCAGCACTTTACTGCCAACTAAGAAAGACAAATAACTACCATAATTCAAAAATAGTTTATGGTCCATCCATCTTTCAGCCTGTTCATCCCTACATCCCCTGCCCCCTCTTTCCTAAAAGGGCCTGAGGGAGGCACCTTAGTAGTCCCCAAATCTCTACTTACCACCACCCAAGCCACCCTAAATTAATATTCTTAAATATGGAAAACTGATATTTTTTTCAACCTTGTGTGAAGTATGAATAAAATAATTTTTAGAACTCTTTACTATATTTTAGAGCATGGAACTTAAAGTACTAAATAGAAACAATATTAAATGTTTGAAAATGTAGTTTCAGGGTAAATCCCTTAGATCCTCTTTTGATCAGACTGGTACCCCTGTGCCATTCCCATACAGAAATTCTGGATTTATTACTGTTCCACACACAAGTATTTTTATGTGCCAAAAAAGACACAGGCCGTGCTTCAAGGAGCTCCTAGGTGTGCAGAAATTATTGTGACGTGATAGTTACAGTAGACTAGTGAGGGTTATGATCAACGTAAGCACAGCTGGCTCTGGGCGTGGAGCCAGAACATGTGACCAACGTGTGGCCGAGGTTCTCTCAGAGGAGGGGACCACTGCAGGTGACTGAGTTAGAGTTGATCAGGTGAAGGTGGGACATTAAGGCCACCTCCCCTGAGGGAGCTGCACATGCAAAGGCAAGGAAGCCAGAGAATCAGAATACTTTCTAGAAACAGCAAATATCCGGAAGTGAGTGCACACCGTCACGAGGAGCGTGGAGAAGCCAGTGGAGAGATGACAGGGGCACATCACAAAGGACTCTATGCCTTAAGTTACCCTTTTGTAACTTCAAGGTAGAGGGGACACTGCAGGGGTTCTAGAGAGACTAGAGGCAGGGAGACCTGCTGGCAGGTACATGATGAGGTCTGCTTGGGTGGGGAGGAGAGAGAAGACAGCATGTTTGGCAGGTAGGTTAGAGGCAGGCTGTGTAAAGGGGAGGAAGAAGTCTAGGATGCCAACCAGGTTTCTGGCTTAGGTGATGCCCTAAATTCTAGGGCCATTATCCATAATAAAAAGGGCAGTAAGAGGAGTGAAGCCAACAGGTTTGGTTCAATCAGGTGCCTCTGGGCCACAGGAAAGATGCCCAGTAAGTAGGTAAACATCTAGAACTCGGGAGAAAGATCTAGGCTGAGCCGGAAACTTTTTAAAGCAGTAACTGAGGCCATGAGTGGATGAGATCACTAAATGAGGTGGAGAGGGGTAGCTCTCACCGTGGCTGCACATAAACAACACTTGAGAGCTTTAAAAAAACAAAACAAAACACTGAGCCCAGGCACCACCGCCGAGTTTCTGACTTTACTGGACTAGAATGAGGCATGAGCACTGTGTTTTGTTTTTGCTTAAAAGGTCTACATCAGTCAGAGTTGAGAACTGCGGGAGGAGACAGCAGAGAGAGGCCAGCCCGACGTCCTGCAGCCCATGGGTGGCCTGAGATGCAGGAGGAAACCCTGGGACGTGGCCGTGAGTGGCAGGAACTCCGCAGTCCCCAACGGCGAAGGCAGCCGAAATGGGTAAAGCACTTGCTTCCAGCAGTGTTTGTTTTGCGTTTACTAATTTTCCAGGAGTGATGAGTCAGAGTAGAAATAAGCTGGATGCTGGAATCGAGGTCAAATCCTGGTTCCGACGATTATTAGATGCGTGACTACTGGTCACCATGTTCCAACTTTCTGAACCCCCCCCCTATTTCCCGTTCTGTGAAATGGGGGCGGTAGGACTTACCTCACAGGGCTGTTGTGAGCTTAATGACATCATCTATGTAAAAGCCTTCCCCCCAACTCGGCGGCAACTGCTATTATTCTCCTCATTTTAGACAGAGAGAGAGAGAGGCATGGAAAGGTTAAGATGCCTGCCCGAGGTGACAGTGTTCGAGGCCAGGCATTCTTGGCTCCAGAGCCCAAGCTGTGCTTACTCACTGTGTGGTACTTCCTCAAGCTGCCTACCGCCAGGCGGTAACGGGGTATTGGAAGGTGAAGTCTACAAAACCTTTGGGTATTACTTTGCAGAGTCCAGGGAAGACACTGGTCATGTATTATAACCACCCACGGTGTTAGAGTGATCCTGGACGACTGCTGACTCACATTGCTCTGTGTCCCCCACTGAGGGCACCAGGACCTCGGGTGACTGTGTGCCATGTCAGACAGGAATTTCCTGCTGTGGCTTTTGATCTTTCTCCCTCTGGTGGGGAGCACTGTACTTAAGTTCTCTGGCAAACCACGCACCATGAGGCTCGTGTTGATTACAGAGACACAATTAGGACTCTTACATCAACATGTAATGAGAGAAGAGGGAAAGCTGCCTAGGACTCTGGGAATCAAGAACAGTTTGTCCCCTCACTCATGGTATCATGACATCTACAGGAAGGATGCATCACATGAAGACAGCCATAGACAGCGTTGGTGGTTATATCCAGCACCGTCCAAGGACAAGGGGCCCACACTAGCACATGGTAGTGTGCCAGTTGCTTTAAGTTTGCTGCTGGAGAGCTGGGCCATTTTATTGGGCCTTGAAACTATTCAGACCTCTTTATTCACAAAGCTGAGTAAGTCAGATGAATTTGCTCAGCCTTTATTCCAACTTCCCAACTAAAAGACTAGGTTAAAAAAAAACAACAACATTTTTTTCAGACTCTCTTGCAGCTCGGGTTCCTGGTGTGATTTTATAAAATGCCCATCAGGTGCATGTGCGTGTCACTTAAGTCAGAAACTGAGTTGAATGGAGGCAGAGGTGGTTGCAGGAGCTGCATTATTTTGCTGATGTGGATACAGCAGGAGCAGTACAGTTCTGGAACTAATTGGCAACAGCTGTTTCCTGATCTCCAAGTGTAGTTGGTTAGGGTACTGCCTTCCTGATTCCCCAGCTCCCCATAAACCAAGTGTCCAGTATTTTTCTGGAAATCACTAGGCCCAGCCCAGAACTCAAAGGTGAAAATTAGAAATGCAGCCGAGAGCCTGGAGCCAGGGAGAACCCAGTAAGTAGGTACAAAGTAACAAGCAGTAAGGAAAAGTGGATATGTCAAGAACTGGCACTTTAGCCTCGGGTTGGGTCCCTGTTTAGGACTTGAGTCAGTATGAATGTGTGGGCTGGCTGGGCCTGAAAGGGTGGACGTTATTCAGATAAGTACATGATTTGTACTACATTTATTACAAAAGGTTTTCGACCCTCAACTTTTGTAATTCCTAGGGAGCAGAAACATAGTAAAAATATACTGATAGATCTGAGCACACAGGAGATGCTACAGGAATATGAATAGTGGTGATAGAAAAGACTTCACATGGTCCTCCTGCCTCTTTGGTTCTGCAATTTCTGATTTTCTGTAACAAGGTTCACAGCAGTGGTTCTCATAAGGCAGATGTAGCAGGAAAGGCAATATAAGACACTAAAAATAAGACTTCATCACATGTACGTATCCTTAAAGATACACATATGATGCGACAAGCAATGCTGAAATGTTTCCTGCCTTCTAAAATCTGATGACATGAAATCAGCTCGATATGCTTAAGTCAGTTCTATAAACATGGTATAGTCAATAATCTCAGAAAGCAAGGTTAGCTAGGAAACGGGAGGTTTGTCTTTCCAGTGCCAAAGTTAATTTGTATTTTTTGCTTTATTTAAAATGTATCTTGGGGCGCCTGGGTGGCGTCTGACTCCTGATTTCGGCTCAGGTCATGACCTCAGGGTCATGGGATCGAGCCTGCGTCGGGTTCCCTGCACACTGTGGAATCTGCTTGTCCTTCTCCCTCTGCTCCTCCCCCCTGCTCATGCTCTTTCTCTATCTCTACAGTGAATAAATAAAATCTTAAAAAAAAATGTATTTCTAAATTAGGGCTGTCAACATCCATTAGTATACGGAGTTCAACAGATGTGTTAGAATTTTATTCATTACAAATCCGGGCTGAGACAAAGGTTAGGATAATAAGTAAAAGTGAGCACCACCCATGTGTTCAGTACCCTGTGCTCTTACTGGGGGTGGAAATGACACAGTTTACAACAGAGGAGTACAGAGGATTTTAATCCACAAATTTGAACTTTATTTTTCTGTGTGTCAAATATTAGCTAGTTTTGGTCTCTAGCCAGAACACAGCTAAATGTCTGAAGGACAGTAACTTTATAGATAAGTTTGGCCATCTTAAAGTTCGCTTTATCCAGGAGTGGCAACTAATCTCTAAAAAGTGTCCAGAACAGTTGGATCATCTGTTCCGTGATCTATCTGGTGACTTCTAATAGGCACAACCACTGCAGAAGAGAAATGTCTCAAGGACACGTAAAAAGCACTATGAGCTGCATGAGTTCATGTGCTGTCTTCTCAAGAAGACTTGAGTCACTTTCTTCCCCCAACTATCTATACAACCTGAGCTCTATTTCCCCCTTAACTTACATAGTAAAATTGGAAAGAATTTTTTTTTTGAAAATGAAATTTTTTTCTTCTATGGTAGAACACTTACATTAATTGAACATTTAAATATCTGCATTTAGAGGAAATGATAATTGCCTCCTTACAATGATGGTATTCAAAGTAAATAATGTTAACTATAGTGTTAAAGCATCTACACAAGAATTATATTCTTTAGGACTCTATCTGTTCTACTTATTAAACAGAATTTATTATTATTTACTATAAGAGTAACACATACTTAATAAATACTCACTCATATAAAAGAATATAAAGAAGAAAGCTCACCTGTAATTCCTGTGTTGCTTCCGCTGAACCCCAGGCCCACGTAAGTTAGGGTGGATCACAGCTGTGGGGACTGTTACAATAATGGCTCCCAATGAACCATGCCTCCCTGTATCCAAGCACCTGGGTAATCCTCCCACCTCCTCACATTGTTGTTGGCTTGGCCATGACCTGCTTTGGCTGATGGGACATTCATAAACTTGAGGCAAACGCAGGCTCAAAAAATGTCTGTGCATTGGGGCTTGCCCTCTCTTGCTTCTCTTTGGAAGCCTAAAGCCACCATGTGAAGAATCCTGGACTAGCTCACTGGAGGATGGGACATCATGTAGAGGAAGACAAGCCAGCCCAGTGAGCCCCATAGACCAAACCAGCCTGGCGACCGCCAGACCATCTACCCCAGTAGAGCTGCTTGCTCACTGCACACATCAGCTGAGCCAGCACATGCCTGGAGAACCTCCCAGATGATGCAGAGAATCATGACAAATACTAAATGTGTGTTTTAAGCAACCACATTTTGAAGTAGTTTTTTTATGCGGTAACTTGTACAATGGCCTTAAGGATTGTAAATGGAGTTCTAGGGGAGCTGAAGTTTAGGCAATCCAAGGTCCTAAAAGTGGGTTACTTTGACAGCTCATATCAAACTGTGAAATGGTATTAAATTAGCTGCTTGTATGATCTCAGGGTTTTTTTTTTTTTAATGTTAAGACGTAAAAGTAAACTGAAAAAAAATAAAGGAAAGTAACTTACCCCATATTCCCATAAATACTGCAAACACTAGGGTTCCAAAACTATCAAAGATGCACAATTTCTGGAAAATACAATAATGACATATAACTGAATCATGTTTTCTACTCACTAGCATTCAGCAAATATGCAGTGCTTTGTGTATTCTACAGTCCGAATTTCTTTTAAAGCTGATACCTAGTTTAACAATCACCATATCTACTACATACCTGCAGATGGGATTTCTTGTTGTTTTGAAAGCAAAGAGCCTTTGCTGTATTTACCACAGTGCATTTTCCATATCGTGATAAAGAAATTGGCATAGCTGCTAAGATTCCATTCGGTTTAAAGTATCAGACTTTTGAATGATGGCCTCTTCTTACAAGCTGTCTTAGTGAACTTTAAGTGTACAGCTCTACAAATACAAGGAACTCAGAGCAACTTTTGGATTTACAATTTGCATCTTATCATCATCTCATCCTGGTCAGATGATAGGTTACTGAGTTCTTGCTTTTCTTGCTAAGAAGAGCACAAGGCTGGGGTTTATTCTGAGATGGCTCTGCCCAAGGAGAGGTGTTTCCCCAAACCCAATGATGGCTTTTCTAGATCAATGACAGAGGCTCCAGGAGATTAAGGAGGTACAGGGACTACTGCTGACATTACAATGGATGCAACCATGAATGAATAGATGATACACCTGTACAAAGAAGGCTTTATTCACTAGTTCTGCTAAATTTCTTTTTTTCTTTTTTTTTTGCTAGTATATAAATAACCTATCTCCCTTTCGGGATTCCTGGAAAATCTTTCAATTAGTTACTAATTTTTCACTAGTGAGCATTTTTACATATCCTAAAAATTCTATAAAGTATAAAGGTACTAGAAAAAATAGGCAAACATGTAGAATATCAACTTTATGATAGATCATACAGATCACATGAAGAGTAAAGAAGACAGCATACAAAAAGAAGCTATAGGATTAAAAAAACCAAAAACCCAAACTTTTCAATTGCTAAAGAAAATTCAAAGTTGCTTCTAAGGAAAACTCTTTGTTTTAAGTAACTTTTTTGGTTGCCCTTTATATACTGATATAAAGTTGGTAAACTTTCATCTATGTGAAAATATGTTTTCATAAAAGAATATCCACTTAACCATTGTCTTGTATGTGTGTTTTCCAAAGCATACAGATGTCCCTCAATCCTCTATCTGAACCTGATCAGAAAGCACTATCCCAAACTGTTACCCAACTATTCCTCTCAAAAAATCACTTAAGGAAGACAGAATTAAGAAGTGAGTGGCCACTCTGGGGAACACTGCACCCACCTATTCCTCTCGTCCTGGCATTCCATGGACTAATATTTCAAATCTTTCAGCTTTGACTCTTACGGAACCAAAGCTCTCATTTAATGTTATGCCTTATCCTTCAGTGAAAATTACTGTAAGAAAAGTCTTGTGCAGAACTGTTCCACGCATTATAATGGTATTACTGAAGATTCTGTCCAACACTACTCCTAGGAATCACTGTAAACCTCTGATACCTCCCTACTTGCCCTGATACCTCTGAGTACCTACTCCAGAAAGAAAAAAACCCTACCCATGAATTCTTTGCCCTACCATGTTGAGAAAAAGCCAGTGGATGCTTATCTGTCAGTGTGAAAGAAAAAAAAAATAGGAGTAGCAAGAAAAAGCAGGTTTACCACTAATGCCAAGATCACCCCAGTTGCCTGGCTCAAGATAAGGGATGTGCTTTGCGCTCCTAAGAAATGGAGTTAGGTGGCCTGGATGAAGTTATCATTTTTGCCACATTTGTGAGGATCGAGGACTCAGCAGAAAGAACAAGATGGCAGGCTTCTCTATGTACCCCATAAGCAGGAATCAGGGGAGAAGGTAAGCAAGGGGTGTTCTTGGTAAAAAGCTTAGCTTAGTTTGCTTGCCAGGAGGGCACAGATGGGGAAACACAGTTGTGTTAAGGATAGCCCCAGTCAGCATCCTGCTTTAATCACATAGAATAGGAAAGAAAAAAGATGGCTGCACATATATAAAGGGCATGATGTTTTAAAGCAGAGGAACCAATGAAAATCTAGAAAAGTGACCATTTGTTGTGTTTCTTCCTGCAAAGGAACAAAATCAAAATTTTATAACAATGTATTTCCGAGAACAAAATATTTTAAGTTCCACATTTCCCTTTTATCTTGCCAGCCAAAAAGCTAAGAACCTTATTTAATGCTCAATCACAAAAACAACATTAATCCTGATTATCTCCATAACTGTTCCCTCACTTCCTTGATCATAATTTTCTATTTCTAATTTATTAACCCTTTTAGCACTCATGTCCATTACTGAATACTCTCTTTCCAAAAGAAAGAAGCAGAAATGAATATATAAATGTATGAATAAAGAAATGATTGAATTAGCCAACAGAAAGACATGGAAAGCTGCTTTTCCTCCTCTTTAAAATTTTTAAAAGGTAATTCTTTTACAAAGGGAAGGAGGCATATGAAAGAATAAATCACCCTAACAAGATTCAAAGGATTCTTTAGGAAATTAGGATAGAATAAAAGATTCAATTTTTTCCAAAACAGTGAAAAAAAAATATACACAGGGACATGTGTTTGAAAGTCACGTGTTTAGGGATGGGTCGGTGGAAAAGAAGAACTGAGAGAAGAGATGGGGGTGTGGTGTTTGAAAGAGAATTTCTTAAAGAAAATGAAATTTCCAATTGTACTTTGTGGAGTATAGTTTGCCTCTGGCATTATCACTGGCATTTGCCTTAGACCCAGTGTCCAGGGATATGCACTAACTAGTGACCTTTATGAGTCAACATCACTGGAAGGCAGCGTCCCTCCTGCTAACTTCAAGTCTTTTTCTTTATGTGATTTATGACAGATTTTTATAGTCTAGAATTTGTGTTAGTTTCTGGGGGAGAGGCAAAGAAATCTACTTTAATTCATAAATTAAGAGTAAAATTCCATGTGTCGACAATACCCTGCAATCATCTTAATTAAGTAGCGGAACGTTTTTCAAACACAGTGCTCAATTTGTGAGTGAAGTGGCTGCTACTATTGTCAGCTGGTGAGGAACACAGTAATGGCAAGAAAGGCAGATTTGCTGTCAATTTCTGGCTTTGTCAGTTACTAGGTGGGTGACCTTGAGCAAATTATTTAATCTCTCAGATCCTCAGTGTTTTAATCTGTAAAATGGAGGTAGTACCTGTTCCGCCTACCTCACAGGCTTGTTGTGTCAAAAGGTCAAGAATCTTTCAAGATATACATTTTAAGTGACATTATAATAGGAATGTATTTGGTTTTAAATAATTCTCTGATGGAGTAAGCTGGAATATTCTGAAGTCATTTAGGATTCCTAAGCTTTCATGGTGGAACAAGGGGATAGAGAAAAGATCACAACATGGGAGAACAGTAGGTCAAAGTTGTCAGGAAAATTCTCCAAAGCAAGATGACCATCTTTCTCTCCAGCTAGAGTTTGTGGCATGCCTTTCAGTAAGCTAGCTCTAGTCTCAATACTTGTCCTAAATGTCCTGGATTTTAACAAGTCATATAGCTCAAGATCTTCAGCATGTTTAAGGGAACCAGATGTGTTTTGTGGGAATGTTTTGGGACAAAGTGAGTATCTATTATCATTTATATACAAAGACTTTCTTATGCATAGTCATAGAGCCTAAATCTGATGATCAGGGTTTTTAAAAAAATGTAGCATAGTTTCAGCACACCTTGGAAGTGGAAAAATACAAATACAAATATCAGGTTTCTACTCACTTGAATTAAGGAAAATAAGTAAACCTATTAAACAGTATTCATGAAATAAGCTGGTTTTGAAATTCTGCTTTGATTACTTCAAATACTACAATAGTTCAATTCTGCAGTTCCTCACTGACCCACCCGAAGATTTTAGATAAGGCTTTTCATCTCAATTTCCTATTTGTAAAAGAGAAATAAACACATACATTCCATGTCTATCTTTCAGAATATCTGGAGGCTTATTTGAAAATTACCTTTTCTGAATTTCACAGAAAAAAAAATAATTCCAGCCTGTGCTAAAATTATTAGAAGGAAAAAAAAACTTCCATTATTTGCAAATATTTAGAGTAACAAAAATTACCTTTGAGGACTCGCAAGTAATATTGAGATTCCAGAATGAACAATGTTGATCACACTGAGGACACATGATGATCTTGCCACCAATATCAGGATGACAAACTTCTTTGCTAAAGGAAAGAGAAAAATAAAATTTAAAAAATTTTAATGATTAGGACTTCCTTTCTAGCAGCATGATAAAATCAAACATCCATTTGTGATAAGAAAATAAAATTCTTATAAAACTAGGAAAGGAATTGAACTTCATTAACCTAACAAAGGCTTGCTACATAAAACCTAAAAAAAAAAAAAACACACAACATTATACTTAATGGTAAATTGCTGAAGTATTTCCTTTAGATCAGGGTAAAGCATCCTGTTATCACTACTTCTTTCCAGTTGGAGGGCCTTGCCAGCTAAGTCAAGAAAAACAAACAGAGGATGCTGGACACAGAAGACATATACAAAATATACATAGGGTTCAGAAAAAGGAATTACACCCCTACAGATCTGCAACTTGTTGGCATAGTAAGTCAAGAAAAACAAATATAGGATGCTGGACACAGAATCCGTATACAAAATATACACAGGGTTCAGAGAAAGGAACTACACCCCTATAGATCTGCAACAATTAAAAATTAATTTTTTTAAATACCATTTTTCCATAGCTTAAGAAATATAAAGAGCCTAGGAATAAATCAAATTCCAGACGTATAAGATTTAGAGAGGAAATGATAAAACTGTTCTGAAAGAGTTAAGAAGATCTATATAAATGGATATATTATCATGTTCATAATTTGGAAGAATCAACATCTGAAGATGTTATTTCTCCTTCATTTGAGCCATAAATTCAATAGGAGAGCAAAAGGCTCAGACCATTCAAGACATTCCTAAAGAACAAGGTATTTGCCACAGGTTAAGAAGAACTGAGCAAGAAAAAACAGAGTTTATGAAGAGACCTCTGCATATACAGAAACTGACTTAGGACAGGGCTGGTCCAGCAAACCAGTAAAGTGAGAAGTGACATTTGCTGCAATCGAATATCCATTATGGAAAAATGTGAAATTGAACTCCTAAAGCCTATCACATACAAATCAACTCCAGGTAGAAAATGGGAATGCAGCAGTAGGAACTTGTTAGGGAAATAAAAAAAAAAAAAAAAAAGGAGGCTATCTAGATAACATTGGGGGTAAGGAAAAACTCCACTAATGAGAAAACAAAAAGTATAAATCATAAAGGAAAATACTGATAAATTCAAAATCTAATAAAAGTGAGAACTTCATTAAAAGACCATAAAGGGGGAGAAGAAAAAATAGCCACAAACAGGTAAAAGTTTTGCAACACATGAAAATGACAAAGGACTATTCACTAGAGTATTTAAAGAACTTCTACAAATTAATAAATTAATAAGGAAAAAGCAAACTTACAAGAGGGTGCAGACTGCTCCCTCTGGGGGAAGCTTCTCAGATGGACTCCTTATGTGAATGGCACTGGAGTTGTAGAATTCATTAGCCTTGCAAATAATTCAGTTAAAAACGAACTGGCAGGGAAAACACTTCTAGAATAACTGAGTAAAGATCTTGGAAAATCTGCTCCTCCATAAAAGCAATGAGAACACTGGCAAAATTTGTAAAAAGTAACCTCTGCAGAACTCTGGAAATTAAACAAGGGCTTACAGCAGTCTGAGAAGTAAAAATAGCTAAATCTCCGTAAAGATAGTGAGCTTTGTGACATTTTACCTTGACCTATCCCCATCCCCATATCCTTAGCCTAATGGTGGGGTTAAAAGACAACAGACCCACAACCATGGTAGCCTAGCAGCCACTGAAGGAGGCAGAAGTGATGTGAAGCTACCAAAAAACCCATCCCCAGAGAAATGTCACTATTTGACTAGTCTGGAAGCTCCCCGGAAAAGCTCCATTAACAGGATTTGTTATTTTTGACCCGTATCAGAGCTCATAAATACTGTGCAAACAATACTATTCCCAGAGTGTCCTGTTGAAAGTATTAGTAGGAATTATTAACATTACAACTGCCTGAGGTGGCAATACCAGGAGGGGCTAACAAGATGCTGATCAAAAAACTTAAAAGGAAACATTGGAGAATGAGATACCTATAGGGGGCTTTAAAAAGCTCCAATTAATTCCTAGGATTGTAGAAGGCCATGTACATGTGTAGGACAGTGCAGGTGGCCAGTAAGGGCCTGAGGAAACCTTAATCCCTCATCTCTGGCTGGCTTTGAGGTTCTGCATAAGTGAGGAGTAAAGGCGCAAGAAGACCTGCAAACTGCCTGCTAAAGTGCTGAAGGCATTCCCCATAGACACATACAGAGCAACTTGGCAAAGGCTCCAAGAATGATTGGTTTCCAGCACTTAAAGAAATCACTGTCCAATCATTAGCTGACAACTAAGCTTATTGAACACAGGCTTCATGGTCACACGCAACAAAAAGACTTTACAGAATTTGTTCAGAAAAGTAACTGAATGAACAGCAGCAGTGATGACAACAAAAGCCACATCTCTGAAGAGGGGAAATAGGATTTCTAGATCTGCCACATTATAATATTTAAAATGCCCAGTTCTCAACAGAAAATTACAAGATACACAAAGAAACAGAAAATTTGGGTCATAATGCAGGCACAAAAAAGCAGTCAATAGAAACTGGTCCTTTAGGAAACCTAGATATTGGACTTACTAGACAAAAACTTAAATAAGCAATTAAACATAGGTTGAGGACCTGATAGGAACTCTGCCTAAAGAATTAAACTATGTGAACATCTCACCATGCAGAGAATAGCAATATAAAAAATTGTTAAAAGAACCAAGTAGAAATTCTAGAGATACAAAAGCATAATTAAAATGAAAAGTTCACCGAGAGGTTCCTCTGTAGATGACCAGCAAGGGAAAAAAAAAAATCAGCTAATTTAACACTAGGTCTACTGAGATTATTCACTGTGAGGAGCAGAAAGAAAAAGTAATGAAGAAAAATGAACACAGCCTCAGAGAGAGGTGGGACACCATCAACAATACCAATATGCACATAATAGGAGTCCCAGGAGGAAGGGGAAAAAAAGAAGGGGGCAGAAAGAATATCTGAAGAAATAGCAACTGAAAAGTTCCCAAATTTGATGAAAACATTAATTTGTACACCCAGGAAGCTCAACAAACTCCAAGTAGGATAAACTCAAAGATATCCAAACATAGGCACATCAGACTCGAAGTGTCCAAAGACAAGAACAAAGAGAATTTTGACGGCAGAAAGAGAAAAGTGATTCAGCATGTACGAAGACGCCTCAGTAAGATTACCAGTTGACTTCTTATCAGAAACCACAGAGACCAGAAGGCAATGGGATGATATACTCAAAGTGCTGAAAGAAAAAGATGTCAATCAAGTATTCTATATCCAACAAAACTATTCTTCAAAAAAAATGAAGGAGAAATTAAGACATTCCTAGATAAACAAAACCTGAAAGAACATGTTGCTAGCTGACCTGCTCCAGAAGAACTACTAAGGAAAGTCCTCCAGGTTTAAATGAAAGGACACTAGACAGTAACTCAAACTCACTTGAAGAAATGAAGAGCACTTGGTAGAGGTAACTACACAGGTAAGTAACACATTACAAATATATATTTGCATTTAATTATTTTCTTCTATCTGATGTAAAAGGTAACTGCATAAAACAGTAATTATAAAACTGTGTTGATGGGCTTATAATGCATAAAGATGTAATTTGTATGAGAATAATAGCATGAAAGGAAAAGATTTGTACTGAAGTAAACTTTCTGTATACCACTGAAATTAAGTTGGCATTAAAACTGAATGAAATTGCTTTACAACAAGATATTAATTACAATCTCCAGGGCAACCACTTAAGAAAATAACAACAACAACAAAAGAGTAAAAAACAACAAATGAATTAAAATGGTATAGTAGAAAACATCTATTTTACACAAAAAAGGTAGTAATAGAGGAATGGGGGAAAAAAGACATAAAACATAGAAAATAAAAATGACATTAAATGTAAATGAATTAAACATTCAAATGAAAGGCAAAAGGCAAAAATAAATGAAATAGAGAATAGAAAAACAGAAAAATCAGCAAAAACAAAAGTTGGTTCTTTGAAAAGATCAACAAAATAGACAAATCTTTAGCTAGACTAATCGAGAAAAAGAAAAAAGTTTCAAATTATTAAATTCAGAAATGATAGGAGGGACATTGCTATTAACCTTAAAAAAATAAAAAGGATTATAAGGGAATACTATGAATGATTATATGCTAACAAATTAAGTAATCTAGATGAAATAAATTCCTAGAAAGAAGTAAATAACTGAAGCCAACTCAAGAAGAAATAGAAAATCTGAAGGGACCAATAGCAAAGCAAGGAAAGAGATTGAATTAGTAATTTAAAAAAAAAATTTTTTTTTTTTTTTAATTTCCATGAAGAAATGCCTAGGCCCAGATGGCTTCACTGGTGAATTCTATCAACCATTTAAAGAACTGACACAAATGCTTCACAAACCCTTCTAAAAATAAAGAAGTGGGGGGCGCCTGAGTGGCTCAGATGGTTAAGCGTCTGCCTTCGGCCCAGGTCATGATCCCAGGGTCCTGGGATCGAGTTCCGCATCGGGCTCCCTGTTCCTTGGGAGCCTGCTTCTCCCTCTGCCTCTCTCTCTCTCTCTGTCTTTCATGAATAAATAAATAAAATCTTTAAAAAAATAAAAATAAAAATAAAAATAAAGAAGTGGGAACACTTCCCAATTCATTCTATGATACCAATGTTACACTGATACCAAAATCATACCAAGACATCACAGGAAAACTATAGACAATTATCTCTTATGAATACAAATGCAAAAATCCTCAACAAAATACTAGCAAATCAAATCCAGTAACATATAGAAAGAATCATGATCCAGTGGGATGTATCCAGGAATGCAAGGATAGTTCAACATACAAAAATCAATTCATGTAATATGCCATTTTAACAGAGTAACAAATAAAAACTCAGAATAGAAGAGAACTTCTCAACTTGATAGAGAACAATTATGAAAAACCCACAGCAAATGTTATCCCTACTGATGAAGGACTAAATGTTTCCCTCTTTAGATTAATATTGTACTGGAGAGTCTAATCATGGGAACCACACAAGGAAAATAAATTAAAAGCCTCCAGACTGGAAAGGAGTAAGTAAAACTATTTTTATTCGAGATGACATGATAGTGTATATTAAAATTCTAAGAAATGTACCAAAGAACTATTAGAATTAATAAGCCGGCCCCTCAAGGTTGTAAGACATAAAATCAATACACAAAAAGCAATTATATTTCTATACACTAGCAATGAATAATCCAAAAATTAAATGAAGGAAGCAATTTCATTTATAATAGCATCAAAAAGAATAAAATACTTAGAATAAATTTGAGAAAGAAGTGCGAAACTTAAATACAAAATAGTAAGAACCACAAAATAGTTTATTAATAGAAATTAAAGACAACCTACATAAACGGAAAGACATTCTATGTTCATAGATCAGAAGTCTTAATATTGACCTGAGATTTAACGCAGTTCTGGCTTTTTTGCAGAAATGGACAAACTAATCCTAAAATTAACATGGAATATAAGGAACCCAAAATGGCCAAAACAATCTTGAAAAAGTTTTGAAGTTTCCAATTTCAAAACTTACTAACAAAGCTACAGTAATCAATATAGTATGTATTTGCAAAAAGGGCAGACATAGAGATCAATGGAAAACAACGGAGAGTCCATAAACAAACTGTTACACCTCTAGCCAATTGATTTTTGACAATGGTGCTAAGACAATCCAATGGGGACAGAACAGTCTTTTCAAAAATGGTGCTGGGGGGTGGGGGGCGCCTGGGTGGCTCAGTTGTTAAGCGTCTGCCTTCGGCTCAGGTCGATCCCAGGGTCCTGGGATCGAGCCCCGCATCGGGCGCCCTGCTCAGCGGGAAGCCTGCCTCTCCTTCTCCCACTCCCCCTGCTTGTGTTCCCTCTCTCGCTGTGTCTCTCTGTCAAATAAATAAATAAAATCTTAAAAAAAAAAAAATGGTGCTGGGGCCCCTGGATATATACCTGGTAAAGAAATGAATCACAGACCTAAATCTATAAAACTTTTAGATGATAAACACTGATAAAATCTTTATGACTCTGGATAAAAATGCTTTCTAAGATATAATACCAAAAGCACAAACAAAAGAAAAAAATTAGGTAAACTAGACTTCATTAAAATTAAAACCTGTTGTGCTTCAAAAGATACCATCAAGTAAGTGAAAAGGCAATCCACAGAATGGGAGAAAATATTTGCAATATATTTGATAAAGGATTTTATCCAGGATAAAGAACAGTTTAAAAAAGACAATAAAAAGACAACACAATTAAGAGAGGCAAAGGATTTGAATAGATGTTCTCCAAAGAAGATATACAAATGGCAAATAAGCACATGAAAAGATGCTCAATATCAGTAGGCATTAGGGAAATACAAACAAATCCACACTGACATACCACTTCATACCCACCAGGATGACTAATACATAGGTATTTTTAAAACCCAGCAATATCAAGTGTCGATGAAGATATGGAGAAATTGGAATCCTCATAAAGTGCTACTATGGAAGTACAATGGTGCAGTCACTCTGAAAAATACTCTGGCAGCTCCTCAAAATGTTAAACAGAGAGTTACCATGTATTCCAGCAATTCCATTTTTGGAGGATATATTCTCGAGTGAACTGAAAACGTATGTTCACACAAAAACTTGTACATGAATGTCCATAGCAGAATAAGTAATAATAGCCAAAAAGTAGAAACAACCTATATTGACATGGATGAACGGATAAACAACGTGGTATATCCATACAATGGCATTGTATTTGACGACAGAGGGAAATGATGTACCGATACATGCTACAACATGAATAAACCTTGAAAAGATTATGCTAAGTGAAAGAAGAGTCACAAAAGGCCACATACTGTACGGTTCCACTTATATGAAATGTTCAGAATAAGCAAATCCACAGAGACAGAGTAGATTTGCAGTTGCAAGGGCTAAGAGAAGGGGGGTTAGGGAGTGACTTATAATGGGGATGAAGTTTCTTTTTGGGGTGATGAAAATGTTTAAAATTAGACAGTGGTGATGGTAGCACAACTCTGAATTGACTTAAAACCACTGAACTGTATACTTTGAAAGGGTGCACTTTATGATATGTGAATCATATCTCAATAAAGCTTTTATGTTTAAAGGGGGACATAATGGCGCCTGGGTGGCTCAGTTGGTTAAGCGACTGCTTTCGGCCCAGCTCATGATCCTGGAGTCCCGGGATCGAGTCCCGCAACGGGCTCCCTGCTCGGCGGGGAGTCTGCTTCTCCCTCTGACCCTCTTCCCTCTCGTACTCTCTATCTCTCATTCTCTCTCTCTCAAATAAATAAATAAATAAAATCTTTAAAAAAAAAAAAATAAAGGGGGACATAAGCTTTAAACATAAGCTTTTATAGAAGAGGAAATACCTATAGTATTCTCCGCTTACACATGCATATTTTCAAAAGCACACAAAATGAAATATATTTTGTAGGGATACAAATATATCTGATAAAGAATATATAGGATATATGTAAAGGAATGATAAAAAAAAAATCAAAATTTGGCATAGTTCTGATTTCCAAAGTAGAAAGTGAGGGAATGCAACTGAGGGAAGCATTTCCCAGGTAACAGTAATGTTCTTTTTCTTAAACTGGTGAGGGATCATTATTCCTTATACCTTAAACACATTTTCTGTTCCTGTGAATCTACTCAGCATGTAATAAACTGAACTGAAAATATTTAAATGCATGTATTTAAATAGTAATTAAAGCCCCAATAGTTCTGAGCACAAGGAGTATATCCCCAAGACCCTCCGCCAGATTTCTGTAAACTAATCTTTGTGAAATAGTAGAAACATGTGCTGTGACTGTCCGGGTGTTTGTATAAAATGATCTGTAATGAGAACAGTCACAATGCAAGAACCTTATAAAAATGCTACTTTTGCACTTTGAAAGTGTATTTTTGAGATGTTGGTTTTTTTGGTTTTTGTTTCTTTGGTTTTGTTTTTTTGTTTTGTTTTTGGTTGGAACAGTATAGAAAACAATGGAGAAGCCAGAGACAAATTTAGACAAAAAGTATCAACACTCAGCCTTTGGCCCTGAACTCTTATTTTCAGTGAAGAGAGGAGAATACTTCAAAGACCATCTGCAGCTTTCTAGCTAAGAAGCCATAATAGGGACAAAACGCTCATAATTCTCCATTAAATAGAATGGATAATTATGCCTATACATCAGAGCTGCCATGGTAAGCTTCCTGCCTCAGGAGCCAGGCTGATATGCTTGGGGCTAGAAAAATCTGGTCATCAGCTAGCTCATTGCTGGTGCCCAGAAATTTTGATCTGGCTGGATCATTGTCACAGCTGGAGAGAGGCCAGGTGAACGCAAGAAAATGCCTGCTTCAGTTGTTGCATCCCTTCTAAAGGTTGAGACTACCAAAAGCAGAGGAGTAATAACACAATTCAGAACAGTGATGGTGAAATTCAGTGTTCTGGCATACATGCTTTTTCCCTTTAGACAGTGCAGCTGGTATTTTAATTCTAATATCAAGCACAAACGAATTGTTTATCCCTTATTTTTTTTCCCATAACACTGTAAGGCCTAATTTTTTAAAAAGTAAAACAAAAACAAAAGTGTTGTTTACTTCAATTTTAAACATCTGTTTCCTAATATATATTAAAAAGTCATTTCTAAAAGCATAAAAACACCAATTTTATCAAGTTTTGCCTTTGAAACCTTGAAGAAATCAGAGCTGCTCTTGGCTCACATCTGTAGGGCTGAGTGAAGCATTCCTCTGGGGAGCAGAAGTTCAAGGAAAATCCTCCCTCCAGACCGCCTTTCTTTTTCAAAGTATTGTCTTTAAAAATTGGAGTGTTTCCTAAGGGTAATATTCTTGTCAGAAACTGGGCCGCATTATCTAAAAAAAATTTTTTTTCCACTTAGTTATTATACTCAGGACAAAAGGGATATATCATCCAAAGCAGTAAGTGTTCTGTGATGAGTCTTCCTTTACTAAAACAGTCTAAGACCCTGAAAATAATTTTATGTCTAATCAACTTTTCATCACAGTAACAAGGAATAAGCAGAACTTACCTCCATGTACAGTTATCCTGATTAAAATATCCATAGAGAAAGCAAGCCACTCCTACCACCGCTGCTAGCAAGAGCATCTGAGTGTAGTAGCCCAGCCAAGCAAAGTAGATTCCAATCTTTTCTCCGTAATATTTCCTGAACAAAGATAGAAATCATCTTTAGAAGACACAATGAGGTTTATCCGAGGCGTGATTATTGCTAATTGAACCACTTTGCAGCTTCATCCTAACCTTAATTTCTGATTTTAAATACCGGAGGCTTTAAGCTTAAACCTCTTACCCAATTCATACTTAAAACATGTTCATTTTCATAAAGACCCCAAATTCCACTATAAAACAAGTATTTTACGTATCCTAGAAGTACTGATCACTGGTGAGCCTGGTGAAGCAAAGTCAACTACAACAGGGCTAAGGAAAGAAAAATGCTACATAGTAAGCAAATAGAGAACATCACCATCCTTCTTTGTAAATAGGAACACATCTGATACGTTCTCCAAAAGATTGTTTGTAACATGCATGAGACAATGAACAGGAACAATCTGCTCCCAGTTAACCTGCTTTTGCTTATCTAGGGAACTTCCTTGGAGCAAATGTAATGTACATCACAAATACAAGAAAAGGACTGATAAGAAGTCACTGATAGTGACTGAGGAATCCATTGTCCTGTATTCCTTTATATCTAGCAATTCTATTTTTTTTAAGTTTTGAAAACTCATCAGTGGAAGAGTCCAGGGAGGCACAGTTGGAAGAAAGGAGGCAGGGCAGGAAGCAGCTCCAGACTATTCCTGAAAGGGAGACAGATACAGTTGGGCACTAAGAGTTGAAAGGCGAGGAGAGCACATTGAGATGATGACTGTCGGCTGCTGTTGATCTTTCCTAGACTGACTCCTTCCTGGCTCAGGACTGGTCCACAGAAACTGTAGATTTACTCAGCTCTTTGCTTCCTTAGAGGCCTCTATGAGACTTCCAGCTCAGTATGGAGCTGGGCTGAGGTCCTTGGGCTTAGCCTGGTGGGGACTAAGCTCTGAGGAAGACCTGAAGCCCCAGGAGACTTCCTTCAGACACGAACATCCCTGGGCTGAACCAGTGGTCAGCTTCACAGGTCATAGGCCTGGATGTAGGCTGCATCCCTGAGGATAAAGAAGGGCTGACACAGACCTGGAATCAGGGGTCAGGAGGAACCAAGTGTTGCATTTTTAAGTGACTGGGGCTTTGCTGTCTGGCTCATAGATTGCAGGCCAAAGACAGGCTCAGGGTAGTGCCTGAGAAAGAAAATCCAGGCAATGGGTTTGCAACGTCTTGGCTGTTAGGCTTTCTGTGATATGTTTTTATCAACCATCCACACTGGAAATGCTACATTTAAAACTGGAAAGAATGTTAGAGGTTACTGGTCCAACTCCCCAGTAGTAAAAATACTCTGCCTCATTTAGAGCTAGTCGGGTAGTCCCTGCTTGGATACTGACCATGACAGAGAGTTCATTATTTCCAAAGATATCTACATTATATTGGAGGCAAGGAGATCAGAAAGAATTTTTGAATCTCAGAACCCTGCCTCCAAGTTCTTGCTGAAAGACTGGGAATAATAATAATTCCTTCAAATATGATATTCTGATCATTCTTTCTGCCAAAAACATCCCAATTCTTAACACCAATTTCTAAAAATTCAGCTTTTTGATCAAAGTTTTAAGTATATACTCAGTAAGGGGTCAGATAGTTCCAGTAATCGTCACGGTGGTTCACTGCTTAGTTTTCTGTGTGCTTACCAATAATTTAACCCGAGACTTTTACCTAACATGTAATTTTCTCAGTACTTTCAAACACATGAGGTAGTCTCTTGCTTTCATCTCCTTGAATAAATCCCATCAGATCTTCTCCACCCCGATTAATGATTCTCTAGCCCTACCAGGGTCATCACCTGGGATCTCTCCATTCCTCTGTCATGTTGGGAATCCCTGTTTACTGAAGTCATGTTTTTCTCTTCCTTCATGGAGCACCTCCTCCGTTACCTTGCACATTTAAATTGTGAAAATTCCTCACACTTATTTTAACGGTTTGACCATTTATGGAATTGGAAAGTGAGAAATCACCTCCCTTGGAAACTTGAAATTATTGCTCTCTTTTCTTCTACCTGCAGTGTTGTCACTGAGGAGTTCAGTGTTATTCTGAGTCTTGCTCCTTCAAATGAGGCCTGTTTCTCTTTCTGGAGGTTCTCAGGATCTTCCTTCTGTCTTCAGTGTCCTGAGGTGTCATGTTGTCGTGACTTGATGTCATGCTGAGGTGACTGGCTGGCTCTATTTTCATCCTCTGAGCTGAGCACTCAGTAAGCTCCTTCCATCTGGAGACCCAGCACACTCAGTTCTTGTCCCAAGCATGCTATAAAGGTGCATAGGCACAAGTTGTGTCTTTCCACAATGTCAGCTTTATTCACTCATAATGCAAGATTTGCACAACTCTAACAGGTTCGGGACTCCAAACTCAACGACACCTCACTGCACACTTGATTTGGCTTCATACATGCCACACAGGACAAGATACAATACAAAGTCACATAAAAGACAAGATGCAATGAGGGTGAGAAATTAATGAACCAAACGCAGTCAGTCCGTGAGCGTGCAGGTGAAATGAGGACTCAGTCCAGTCTGGGTCAACTCTTGGCACTTAGTGCTTATTATGTTCAAGCAGTGGAGGGTCTCTGTTATGTTCAGAGACGAATCGGGAGCTGTTGCCTTTCAAATATGGTCAGACAAGGAAGAGTCTGAATCTGAAGAATCTGACAGTTTGCTACAGAAGTCCTCTTTTTAGAGGAGTTTAACCAGTCTTTAGCCTTTCCTGGCCTCTTCTGGTTCTAGTGATGGTCAGTTCTCGGTGTTTCCATCATCTCTTGGCTTTGCTCACTATCAGTTCTTGGTGCCACCTGCATGTTCTGGTGCTATCTATTCTCAGCTCATCACCTTTGGCTGTCTTCCTGATTCCTGACATCACTGCTTGACATGAGTGACCCCCTCATGCTCTCTACTGTTCTTCAATATGGTTCTTCAGACACTGCTCTAATTTCCTCCCTAACATTATCTCTGTTGTTGTTCCTAGCACCCCTACTATTTGTTCATTGCATCTCCTGGACCGACCTTCTAATTTTTATTTCTCCCTGCCCTTTTTACTTTCCGTCTCTTTATATTTTTGCTCTGTGTTCTGTACAATTTCTTCAACTTTATTTTCTAACACTATAGTTCGGGTTTTTCTGTTCTATTACATTTTTTATTTTAAGAGTTACATTTTATCCGTGGAATGATTTTTTTT